GTTGAAACTTGTTGCTCAAAAATTTTGCTACCTGGTCGATCTTTTTCGGGTCTTTTGCAGCTATTAAAAAATCATCGACATATACTATTAGGTAGAGTTTCTCGGTACCATAGTCTTTGATGTAAAAACATGAATCTGCTTCGCTCTGCTTGAATCCGAATTCGTTCAAGCAGTCGTTCAAGCGATCGTACCATATCTTGGCAGCTTGCTTCAGTCCATAAATGCCCTTCCTTAATCTGCACACCATTTTTTCTTTACCTTGAATGGCGTAACCTTCGGGCTGCTGCATATATATGGTTTCTTTCAATTCGCCGTTGAGGAACGCGGTTATTGCATCAAAGTGTTTGACTTGCATCCCTTTATGACCTGCTACTGTTAGAAGTGTTCGCAGGGTTGTTTGTTTCACGACAGGCGCGAATACTTCGATGTAGTCTTTCCCGTATTTTTGCGTGAAACCACGCGCGACAAGTCTGGCTTTATGCCTTATAATGTTTCCATCGGCATTTCTTTTTGTCTTGAAGACCCACTTGCACGTCACGATGTCTCTGCCGTCCGGCTGCATCACGACTTCCCATGTGCCGTTTTTAGATAGAGAATCAATCTCTTCTTCCATAGCCTTCATCCAGTGGTCTCTGTCTGGCCTAGAAAGGGCCTCTTTTACACTCGTTGGATCTTGCTCTTCAGTTGCTAGGTTCAAAGTGTCCATATACCTCTCGGGCGGCACGCCCCTATTAGACCTTTTAGAGCGCCGGAGTTCTGCATGATCTCCCTCAACTTCGATAGGTATATTTTCAGCTTGGCTGCTGCTGGGATCGTTATCTGTAGAGCAGGTCTCCTCTTCAACGGTGTCGCCTTGAATTGAAGAACTACTAGAGCTATTGTCATCTTCATGATCATGGTTGACGTTCTGCTCGTGGATGATTCTTGATGGAGTTACTTCAATTTCGTCTTGGCACTGTACTGTCGGCTTTATTATACCTTTCTTTTCAACGAACCTCACGTCTCGGCTAATCTTGATTTTGTTGGTCGTTGTATCTAATAAACGATAGGCCTTTGATTCGTTCGAATACCCAACAAAAGTTAGTTTTATTGCACGATCATCTAATTTTCTGCGCATTTCTTTTGGTACATGCATATACGCGGCGCTACCGAAGACTTGTAGATGACTGACGTTTGGCTTCTTGGAGTGCCATAATTCGAATGGTGTTTTACTTGTTGCTTTAGTGGGGAGCCTGTTTTGTAGATAATTAGCTGTATGAATTGCCTCTCCCCAATACTTGATGTCAAGATCGGCGTCGAAAATCATGCATCTGGACATGTCGAGTAAAGATCTATTTTTTCTTTCGGCAATTCCATTCTGCTGCGGTGAATAGGGTGCGGTGTATTGCACAAGAATTCCGGTTTTCTTCAGGTATGACTGTAAATCCTTATTGACGTACTCCCCACCTCGATCTGATCTGATTATTTTGGGCACTTTATTGTACTGAATTCGTGTCATCTTTATGAACTCTTTCAATAGCCCGGCCGTTTCGTCTTTATGGCGCATCAGGTACAGATGTGTATACCGGGAGTAGTCGTCTATTATAGTCAATATATACCGCTTCTGGTTTGGCGTAGCTGTCTGCATCGGCCCGCATACATCCGTATGGATGAGGTCGAGTACTTCCTTCGTATCAGTCTTAGATTCCTTTGGAAATGGCGCACGTGTCATTTTTCCTTTGATGCAGCACTCGCATGTTTCATCCTGCCCGCAATCCTCTACCTGGATTCCAGTAGCCAGTCCTTTCTCCGCTAAACTTTTGATTGCTCCCGAGTACCGATGGCCGAACCGCCTGTGCCACAGGTGGATGCAGTTCTCGGAGCATTCCTTTTTTATTGGCGCTCTGACAAGGCCTACTTTTTCAGTGCTTAAGTTATAAAGGCCCGAGTGTACTTTTGCTATAGCCAGCATTTTCTCGTCCTTTATAAGCATGCAGCAATTATCCTCAAAGGTAACTGTATAGCCTTCTGCAGTGAGTTTTCTCACCGACAATAAATTCGAGCCTAAGCCGGGAACGAAGAGCACGTCTTCCACTCTTACTTCCGAAACATTTTCATAGGCGTCTGTACACTTTATGGACACCGTTCCAACACCTTTCACTTCTAGGCTATTCCGGTCGTCTGCAAGCCGTACGTGGCCCCTTCTGCTGGAATCCAACTCGTCAAAGAAATCTGGATTTTGCACCATATGGCTCGTTGCTCCTGAGTCGATGATCCAACTGGTTTCCTTATGCTGTGGATCTGTTACTGTAGCGCGTAGACAATACTCTGTATTCACAAGATAGCAGTAGTCGTCCACGTCATCGACTGTCACTTTATTAGCTTTATTTTCCTGTTTCGCCTTCCAAGCTTTATACTTTGTGCACTCACTTTTCATGTGTCCGTGTCTTTTGCAGAAAAAACATGTCCTCTTGGATGTTGTGCCTGATGTACTTGGTTGCGAGCTTGGTTTGTTTTTGTAGATAGCTTTCATAGCGGTTTCGTCCGATGCCTCGCTTCTTGCTTCCCTCGAGTCCTTGCGCCGCATATATTCGTCGATCAACTTCCCTTTGACGAAATCTAGCGTAAGGTCCTTTTCGGCCCTACCCTCTAGAGCCATAATGAGGGTTCCGTACGACTCTGGGATACTGCACAGCAAGATTCCTACAAGCGTGCTATCGTCTATAACTTGGCCCATGCCAAAAAGTCTGTCAGCATATTCTGAGAGCGTAGCAATGTGTTCAATCATATCACCGCCCTCTTGGAGGACTGTATGATAGAGACGCCGTTGTAAATGCACTCTACCTGAAAGGGTCGACTTCTGGTGATACTCCCTCAACGTGATCCATTGCTCGCGTTTTGGCATTCTTTATGAGCCTTAGTTGGCTGTCCTCTACCAGCAGGCCGATGGTAGCTTGAGCCGCTTCATCCTTGGCAGTCCATGCAGCGTCAACTGGAGTTGCTGGCTCTACTTTGACGACATCCCACAATTTGTCCCTCATCAACATGAGCTGGAGTTTATAGCTCCATGTTGAATAGTTTTCGCTGTTGAGTTTTTGGACAGTGGCACGTACAACTTCTGCCATTATATGGATTCACCCTCAGTATACTTTTAGCATTCACTTTAACTGTCTATCACTGTTAACTTTTAATTGTCCTTATTATTACTCACTCATTTTACCTGGTCTTAATTTCACACTAGAGCCTGGGCCCATAACCTCTTGGGAAATAAGGTTGTATGTATATTTAAGATAACTTTATTCAAATATCCACTACAGTCTATTTTCCTCTTGAGCAGTACTCTAGTGGAACAAAAAAGAACGTGAGTTGTAATGAATTGAAACTATGAGTGATGGATAACAGATTTGACACTGTCAGTTCTAGTATATCATGTCAAGGACTGCCACTCGTCTACAAGGTGTTGAGTCCTGATTGTTAGCTGAACTTCGAGTGTGCATAGCGTTGCTTTTCCAACAAAATAAACATGTGAAGTAACCACCAATGCCGTGCCTTATGTATGCAATGCAAGAAATATTGACAAATAATCCATGTGGTGAGAATATTCTACCTGCATTAATAGCAGGTTTTCTAGGATGTTCGAATTGTAGTTTCAATATAAATACAACCACAGAGTGACATATTTGTGTATGGACCAGGAGATGCTCTAATGGCAAATACCGCGCCAGTGCCAGCTATAGGAACAAGACGTGGAAAATGTTAGGTTAGTGAGCATATCAACAATGATAATAGTGATAATTTATTCCTCTCCATACTACACTGTGTTTGACTTGATAATCAAATGAAGCTAAACAATATCGTTGTTTGAGACAAAAAACTATTGCTTGCCGTGATTATTCAAAAACAAGTTATCCATCCCGAGAATAACGAATGAAATATAGATCAAGCAAGTATTTGAATCTTGAAGGCTTCCCTGATCAACACAAAAATACTCAACTGAGACGTTTATAATTCCAATACTAAACTATAATAAGGTGTATTTATATCTCCAGCATGGGTATGAAATGCCAAATCTGCTGAAATCGGAAACAAATCAGGTATGCGTCTCAGCCCAAATAACCAACTGTCACAATGTTGTTCATTCTAGATGACGTGCTAAAGTTCAACTTTAGCTCCTAGGAACTAAAATTCAACTTTAGCTCCTAGGAACCAAATATGTTGCCTAGCAACATACCTATTTTTGTGTCAGTAATAGAAACGTCAATCTAAGAGCTAATTTTGGTATCAAAATGGACGACTTTTGTTTCGGTTGCAGAACGTTTTTTTTTTTAATAATTCAAGAACCTGATTTTTTTGATTTAAATCGTAATTGAAGAGGCAAGTGGAAGAAGGGGTCAAGTAACATTTTCTGAAAATATCCGGTTATGTAATGAAAGAAGGTGTTACGTGCATATGTAGCTTTTCCCGTCAGGATTTGTGTCTATTCTTCATATCTGTGGAAGTATTCCCAACAACATACAGTGTGTCCCACTTACCATGCTCACCATGGGAATCTTTTTAACGGTGAGAGATACGAGGTCGGTTAAATGACACCAAATGTAGAGTTTGTCAAGGCCAACTATAATGTGAAAAAATATTCTGATAAAATCTATTCGTTTTTGTTTTATACGCAAAAAACAGATTTTGATCATTTTCATGTCTCCTCCGTAACTTCTTTATTAATGAAAATATTCAAATAAGAATTTCACATTCTCATGGCAGTTATTCAAAGTGATTTCGAAAAAAATATCAAATTTATACCAACTCTTCTAGAATTTGAGATATCAGCACCAACTTTAGTTTTTCAAACGGGAAAAAAGTAAGTTATGAAAAGTGACATTTTATAACCTGTCAACAGAGATGAAATGCCAAACTTTTTTCCTGTCACAGGAAAAAATACTTTGAAATGAAAAAAAAATTAAAACTTCATCACCAGAAAAATTGATTAGTTTTTTTGTCCGATTTGAACGGATTACCTTGTATACAGGTCGATAAAAGAGAGTACCAGACCGACCACTACCAGCGGTCGAATAACAAGATCAGCCAGACGCAGCATGCAGCAAGACCCCAGCAGCTCCCCTGCTACCGCAGACACTCCCGGGGAGTTTTCCCTCTTCAACAGCCCCAAGGTACGTACAGGGTGATTCACCATAAATTTCTCCCCCCCTCCCTCTAGCTCACTTATTATTGAACCATGTTTATAATGATCCTTTTATACATAAATAAGGATTGACGACATAATTCGATCGAAAAATTAACTAGAATGTTTTATTTTTGGACATAAATAATAGTACCTTCTGAAAACGGACCCTCTTATGACGTAGAAACCTCATCTCGTCATAGTCAGAAGAAAATACCAAACGCCCGACGGTGACTGAGGTAACTGATATATTAATTCTTTCAACTGTGATCTCGCGCTAATTCACTCTGTCAGAAATCATGTATCATTCATCTCTGTCTGGAATAGTCTTGTTTCAGTATAAGGGTTTTGACGTTACATCATCGCCTCGTTTTTAGAGGTCCGAAAAATCGGGGATTTCAATAATTTTCTATGAAACGTAGGGAGCTCACAGCAAGAAACGGTTTGCGGTGGTGAGCTAGTTTGGGTGAGTTCTATCGAATCATGAAATAACAATTTTTTGTGATATAAGCCCATTAGATGAAGCCCATTGAATTGAAAAACATATATTTTTCATATATTATTATTCAATAAAATTTCCATTTCATTAGAAAATACTTTTTTGTATGTTTGAGAACTACGAAGATAAAGATAAAAAGGTATGATGTTCCTTCACCAAAAATTCAAATGTTCGTTTTTCCTTCCAGTAACTTTACAATGCTCTTTTTTAATATCCAGAGACACGGCAGTATCTTCCATCAAGTACTTGTATGAATAGTTACATACAGAGAGACAGGTGATTTAGACCCACTTCAAAACTTTGAATTAAATTGACACTCCGTACACTCATCAAGGACCGATGACAGTAACATAATTCAATAGTTTTTGTTCCATTATCCTGATCAGAGGATCTTCAGGATTAGCGATTTCTTCCCTAATAAAATGGTGTTAGGTTCCGCCACCAAAAATTCAAATTGTTCCTTTACCAAAAATTTAAATGTTCTCAATTCAGAATTTCTTTCCACGTCCTGTATGATGAATATCAATCTATCATACATCCAAAAACAAATGCCCAGATGATAGTGGTTATGTCAACAAATTATAATTCTCAGATGTCAGTTCATTATAATTTCAGTTATACCGGGTGACACAGGAGACATGTAGCAGCCTGTAGTTTTTTTAACTGAAGAAATAAAATTGTGAAATTCACAGGGGGTATATAATAAATGATAGCGCACTTTTCGAACTTAACGACAATTTTTTTCAACCACCTGTTTGACCGGAAGTGACCCCAACTTTTTTTTTTCAAATGTCACCCTGTACATTTCTTCAGTCTATCTTTTTCGCCTTGAAATTCTCTATCCAACCATGTATCACAAAGTGGCATTTATTTCTTAATTCGCTGTTGAATTGCTTTTTATTCAAAAAGAATAAGTTGGCTGTGACATGAATTCGATGATATATCGACACTAGGTAGGCTTTGAAATGTAAAGATCATTAGTAAACCGATTTTATTGAAAATGTTTTGATATTTTGATCAATGTCTGCAGATTGTCAATAGCTTGTTTGAGTCAAGATGAAAACCTTCGAAAATAACTCATGATATTGAGGAATCTAAGATAGGAACATATTTTTTCGAATTCAGCTACTCGTACAGAAACTATCTGTCTTTTATTTTCGCCATGTACCTATCACATGATCTTCCCATTTGGAATAATAAAAGTAAAATTGTCTTCTTATACACAGGGCTATCAGTCTATTTTTTCATAATTATTTCACTTAGTAGGCGGTGTATCTACACAAAATGTTTTATGTGTTTAACAGCTAACCGATTGCATCAATAATTTTTCTTCTTCATTTGTGTGTTGATTGAAATTGCATATTAACAACATATTTTTCGTTTCTTGAATACATTCAGGTTGGGTTACTAGATCTGGTAACATATCTTAGGTTAGGTTACTAGATCTGGTAACATATCTTAGGTTGGGTTACTAGATCTGGTAACATATCTTAGGTTGGGTTACTAGATCTGGTAACATATCTTAGGTTGGGTTACTAGATCTGGTAACATATCTTAGGTTGGGTTACTAGATCTGGTAACATATCTTAGGTTGGGTTACTAGATCTGGTAACATATCTTAGGTTGGGTTACTAGATCTGGTAACATATCTTAGGTTGGGTTACTAGATTTGGTAACATATCTTAGGTTGGGTTACTAGATCTGGTAACATATCTTAGGTTGGGTTACTAGATCTGGTAACATATCGACTTTTTCGTTTCTCTTTCGTTTCTTTTTCCGTCTCTATTGATAATATGCAATTTTAATCAACACACAAATGAAGAAGAAAAATTATTGATGCAATCGATTAACTGTCAAACACATAAAACATTTTGTGTAGGTACACCGCCTACTAAGTGAAATAATTATGAAAAAATAGACTGATAGCCCTGTGGATCATCGTATAAGAGTAACAATTTTAGTTTTATTATTCCAAATGGGAAGATCATGTGATAGGTACATGGCGAAAATAAGAGACAGATAGTTTCTGTACGAGTAGCTGAATTCGAAAAAATATATTCCTCTCTTAGATTCCTCAATATCATGAGTTATTCTCGAAGGTTTTCATCTTGACTCAAACAAGCTATTGACAACCTGCAGACATTGATCAGAATATCAAAACATTTTGAATAATATCGGTTTACTAATGATCTTTACATTTCAAAGCCTACCAAGTGTCGATACATCATCGAATTCATGTCACAGCCAACTTATTCTTTTTGAATAGAAAGCAATTCAACAGCGAATTAAGAAATAAATGCCACTTTGTGATACATGGTTGGATAGAGAATTTCAAGGCGAAAAAGATAGACTGAAGAAATGTACAGGGTGGCATTTAAAAAAAAAAGTTGGGGTCACTTCCGGCCAAACAGGTGGTTGTGTGGTTATTATTATGTCTTCTTCTCTGTACCCTCGATACAGAAATCCAACGAATCCAATTCGAAAGCGGAAAGCGACTTGTCGCCCCAATACATACCGGCGGAAAAGTACGAACTCGAACGACGAGCCATGTACGACAACCTGTTGCGGCCGAGCTCGCCCAAAGACACGAGAACGTCCGAATCGAATACCGATCGAGGCCGAGCAGACAGCGAACAACGAGAAGAAGAATCCAAGGTCAAGCAACCAGAGGAGCAAGAGAGGGAAGGAATCATCGAAGAGGGGGACGTTCGGGAGGGAAAAGAGGGGAAACCCGATGAGGAGGAAGACATTGAGGCTAGCTTTAAGACGTCTTCGAGTTGCGTCGAACAGGTGACTAGGGAGGACTTTGCGGAGGAGGAGGAGGAGGATCTGCAGGTGGAGGAGGAGCGTGTGGAGAACGATGCGGCTATGGAGGAGGAGGAGGATGAGCCTATGGAGGTGGAACCGCCTGCGGAGGAGAAGATTGAGGTGGGGGAAGAGGCGAAGTCTGCCGCTCCTTTGGAGGTGGAGCGGGAAGTTGTGCCACCCTATAAGCCTACCACGGAGATTGAGGATGAGTGGTCGACGGATTCGGATTCGAACAGGTGAGGGTTTGAGGTGTATTGCAGTGGCTTCTGTTTTTATTTCAAGGATTTGTCTATTAGAGGGTCAAACATTTGAAAAAAATTTGACAATTAGAAAGATGAACAAAAAATTTGGCAAATTTCTTACAGGACGATTTTCTCTACAGTTTTTAGTGAGCAGTGCTTCAACGTTTAGAATTCCACGGCGTGGCAGTTTTTTTTTCTGAAGGGATCACAAATTGAAATTGTTAGAATTTCATATACAAGGGAAAAAAGTTGTAGATTTTAGCTCCAGGTTGTGTTGTCACAAAAAACCCGTGAGCCAAATTCTTATATTTTTCTCGTGTATAATACTCTGTTTTTTTTGTGACATTAAATCGAAATCAGAAAATTATCTACGGGGAATTTGAAGTTTTTATCGGGAATGACACCTGCATTGCGAATTTACATTGTTTTCTGGAAAGGGTTTTATCTATAAAAATGTTTAGTAGGCTACAGAGTTGTACCAGTTTTCAAAAATGGAGAAAATGGAAAATTTTAAGGCGGGCCTTTCGCGACAGCTTTCCGACCGAATATAGCCTATATATATATACTAGTTCAACAACTATTTCTAGGTGTCAGTGTGATGTCGAAATCGGAATAAAATAATTAAATTACAGCTTTCACAGCTATTGTAGAGTTCTTCGATTTCGTCTGTTACAGCAGGTCACCAATAGGTGGCACACAATTGAATGCAATCGTAGGTAATTGTATTATGTACGTGCAGTGTTGCCAGAGCTACTGCTCCACGGGCCTGCTCAACATGATTCCACTTTTCACTCCATTCAAGTCAAGCAAATACCTATATCTCGCTACAATGAAAATTTATGTCATGAGTCATTTTTGAAACTGTCTTCACAAGTAGTCTTTCGAATATTTCTTTTCCTTTTTAATTTCATTTCCTACTAATATAACTTATCATTATTGGCGTCGCCAGAAAAACTTCCAAGGATGGGGATCGAAATCATTGTTCAGACTTCAGGGCAAAATACTCAAAATAGTCTGTGTAATTCAGAAATAATGTGTGCAAGATTTTTTATCAAGTTCAGATGGCTATAAATAGAAATTTCGTGTTTTCTGTATAGGGTATATACGTAGACGATTGCCTAGTTTCAAAGATCTTCATTCTTACGAATTCACACTGCTATTACTGATATAAGGGTTATATTGTTATATACAGTGTGTAGAATGAAAGAAATCTTTGATTCAAATTTCATGTTCTCTAATTCAGACCTGCTTGCTGAAATACAAATTTCGATCATAATTGCACTTATGAAAAAAACAATTTTTTCGAAGTGAGAACTTCTAGGCGCGTTGAGCACTTTTTTGGGTGGAGAAAAACATTGGATTTCGCGTCATCGTCACGACCCGTTACGTGTCCCGTTATCGCTAGGTCAATGAATAGCAATAAATTTGAAGGGTGCAGTATCGCATCTCATCTTATATTATGTGGTATTTTGTAATTATGATTAGATTCTATTCTAAATTGGTATATGGAGGTTTTCGGGGTCGGAGATTATGATTCTTTCGTGAAAATTAGGATATTGAAGATGGCTGACGAGTTTTATTTATAATAATTATGATCCCATTCTATTCAAAATTGTTGTCTGGGGGTTCTCGGCGTCGGAGATTATGATTCTTTCATCATGGCTCCACCAATATGGCGCACGAGTTTCGTAATTATGATTCTATGCCATTTGAAATTTGTATCTGGGGTTTTTTGGGGTCGGAGATTATGAATCCCGAAATGAAAAAATTCAAGATGACGGATTCAATATGGCGGACGAGTTATGTGATGATGATTCTATCCTATTCAAAATTTATATATAAGGGTGTTTGGGGTCGGAGATTATGATTCTATCGTCAAAATTGGGAAATTCAGGATTGCAGATCCATTAAAGCAGACAAGTTTTCTAATTTTATTATCCGATTCTATTCAAAATTTTTACTGGTGTTTCAGGGGTCGGAGATTTTGAATCATTTGTCAAAATTAGGAGATTCAAGCGAACACCATCTCAAAAGTTTTTGTTAGTCTATCTTAGACAGCGAATGTTTTCAGGTAATAAAGTTTGTCGAGTTGATAAAATTCTGTTTGATAGTGATAAAACAGTGTATAGTGTGAGTGTGATTATATCGTACCAAAGTTTCCAGGATTCCCTGGTTTCGGTCTTCAACATAACGGTGAGAAATTGATTTGCCATCATATGCTTTCTATATCTCACAATCCATTTTGTTTTAATGGTCAACTTTTTTTAAATCATTTAAAAATCGAATTATAATGAAAAATATATAAGAAAATTATGTTCATGCTGATATAAAACTCACAAAGTTATTGTATGAGGAATTTTAAAATGAAATATTTTTCTTGAACAACCTGTTTCTCCAAAACTAACAACATTTTCTATGAGAGATGTGAGGCTGCATCTTGATATTCTGATGTTTACTATTTCTAGCTCACACATTGACCATTTTCATGCTGATTTAAAACTTACAAAGTTATTGTATGAGGAATTTCAAAATAAAATATTTTCCTTGTACACCCTGTTTCTCCAAAACTAACAGCATTTTCTATGTGAGATGTGAGATGTGAGGCTGAATCTTGATATTCTGATGTTTACTATTTCTAGCTCACACATTGACCATTTTGAATGAATAACCCTGTATATATTTCAAAGAAAATTTTAATATCACGGAATTCATTGAATTTCAAAAATCTTCCCCAAAGAAGATGTAAGTGGAATATGAAGTATCTACCTACGATAATTCTCTAAAACATGAACTGGATGTTCGATAACGTCTCCAAATGTCTCGAAAAAAAAGCGGCTGCTATATTTTCAAATATTTCGTATGTGGCTGACTTTCCTGTTGCCTCGCTTTTCTGCCCATTCTTATGAATTTTTGCGACATATCATTTGCAGCAGCTTGCAACACTGGCTTTTCAATTATCGATTATATGCCGGTTAGTTTGAAGTTCATCTGAAGTTCACGCAATTCAAAGTGGCACGTGGCGGACTGCGGAAAGACGGGGAATCACCGCGCGACCAATGAATATCCCCCCGGTTCGCCGCGGGAGGGAGAGACATATAACGATTTCTCGCTCAGTTTTGTTTTGTTGCCGTGGCGGTATTATCCTTTGTGTTTGTGAATATCGCCATATCAATGGATCCAAAATCTGAGAACTGTACTCTGAGAGTTCTGAGACGAATGTTTTTGCATGAGTTTTAGAGTGAAATAACCTGAACTTTTGACACAGATTAACAAAGCTTTTTGAAGTTTGTTCCACAACTGTGCCATTTCTATTATTTCCATCTATATGCTGACATAATTATCGATCTCATGAATAGAATTGAAGAAATTCTGCTGAATTTGTATGTTTAAATTTTCAGGTCTACTTATATAATTATAATTCAGTGACAAATTCTAGGCCGTTTCAAACTACTCTATTTATTTTCTAGTTCTTTTTAGTTCGGTTCTCTATACCTCTTAATTTTTCCAAACTACTCTTTATTTTCTACTCACTTCTTTTTAGTATGGCTATCTATAAAAAGGTGTTCCATAAGTTTTTCAAACTAATATTTATTAGAATAGTTAAATATTTATCAACATACTTATATTCATTTGTTTTCTAATTCTTCTCCGACCCCGAAAACGCCCAGATACAAATTTTGAATAGAATCGGATCATAACTACAAAACTCAGTTGCCATCCTCCATCTTCAATTTCCTTATTTTGATGAACAATCATAATCTCCCATCCCAAAATCCCCCGTATACAAATTTGGAATGGAATCGGATTAAGTTACAAAACTCGTCAGCCATATTGAATCTGCCATCTTGGATTTCCAAATTTTGATAAGAGGATCATTATTTTCGACTCCGAAAACCCCCCGATACCAATTTTACATAGAATCTGATCATAATAATTAAAAAACTCTTCCACCATATTGGATCCACCATTTTGAATTTCCCCATTTTGACAAATGATTCATAATTATCTACGACCTCTAAAACCTCCAGATACCAATTTTGAATAGAATCTGACCATAATTACAAAACTCGTCCGCCATATTGGATCCGCCATTTTGAATTTCCTAATTTTGATAAAAAATCATAATCCCTGACCTCGAAAACCACCAGATACCAATTTTGAATGATATCTGACCAATCTGTTCTGTTCAGCACCAAAACATAAGCTGATGCTCTTAGATTCCATCCAGAGAAGAGCCATTCGCCTGGTGGGTGACGCCACACTCACTCACTCTTTGACATCATTGGAACACCGTAGAAAGGTCGGCGACCTCTCACTTTTCTATCGATACTTCCACGGGAAATGGCTATCATCCCTCCACTAGCAATACCAGACGAAGTAGACAAGCCCAGTCAGCACATCCTTTCGTTGTCAACCTCGAAAGATGTCGAACAGCACTTTATCAAAACTCCTTCATCCATAGAACGGCTAGGCTCTGGAATTTAGTGCCCGAGGAAGTATTCCCAACAACATATAATCTCCAGAAGTTCAAAAAAAACTCCAATACCTACCTCCTGTCCCTATCCTCCCTAGGAACGCACGATGTTCTTTGAACATTATAGGGATTTCCTTTCGTGCGCTCCAAGCGATAAAAAAAATAATTACAATATTCGTCCGCCATATTGGATCCACCATTTTGAATTTCCTTATTTCGATGAAGAAATCATAATCTCCGACCTCGAAAACCCCCAGATACCAATTTTGGATGGAATCTGACCATAATTACAAAGCTCGTCCGCCATATTGGATCCGCCATCTTGAATTTCCGAAATTTGACGAAATATTCATAATCTCCGACCCCGAAAACCCCTGAGTACCAATTTTGAATGAAATCGGATAACTATACTCGGTCGCCATATTGGATCCGCCATTTTGTATTTTCTATTTAAAAAATAGATTACGACCGATTCTCATACCTACCGAATACGCACAAAAAATTTCATACGAATCGGTCGAGCCGTTTCGGAGGAGTTCGACCACTATGACCGTGACCGTGACAGGAGAATTTTATATATTAGATTTGTTAGTCTTACAAACACTCGGAGAACCTCCCCTTGAAATATGCCCAGATAATTGAATAATACCCTCTGTATTATCACGTCGCCTAGATTTCATAATATGTCCGAGTAATATGTATAACATTGGCAACGGTGTAAACGGGTTTGAATTCATCATCTCTCCTAAGCGCCATCTGCTTGCAATACAATGCACCATTCCTCTCTGCCGCAGTCTGTCATTTCGAACACTGCCATCTATCAGGTAGTGCCTGAACTACCACATCCTAGTTTCCTGCATTATATTCTTTCAAGAAATGGAGTTTACCGAGATCAGCTGGGATGAATGGATATTTTGTTGACAGAATAATCGTTTTTGTTGCTTCCTGTCCGAATGGAAACATTTCAAGAGCTGATATTTCAGTGACACCTCGCCGAATTTCCAACAATTGTACTGAGATCGAAAATATTTCAATTTGAGACAAAAAAATTTCAATGTTTACGTTTTTCAAAAATCTGTATCTTCTATAAATAAATGAGTTTCGACTCCGTATGATAACCAGGCCCTAGTCCCAACCTTCTTCTTTACGATGATTTAATCAGTTTTTCAATTGAATCATTCATAAGCCCAAATAGCAACAACTAGTGCAGGCCTGCATGTCGATTTGGTTGAATCTCTCATCTTAAGGATAAAAATCGAGGAAGAAATAACAGGGACGTGCCAATTTTTTTCCAAGGAGGTCAAAAATTGAAAATACTTGAGCACATTTTTCCAGAATGGGTTGTTTTCATTGATAGAAAAGTTTAGCAGACTCCAGGGTCGTACCAGTTCTTCTCAAAACTAAAAAAACTGGAAAATTAGAAGGATGAAAAGATTGATGAAATGATTTCAGAGGCGTACCAGTTTTATTTCTGCAGGGGGTCAAAAATAAAAAAAATTAATTTGGATACCATCCGTACAAAAAAAATCAGGATTAAGAGTATAGGACGTACGCAATTTTTTTCCGAGGGGGTCAAAAATATAAAAAAAAACTTTCAAGTTCTTATCCCCTTTCATTTGTGCCGGCCCAAACTCGAAGTGTAACAAAACCTGCCCGATCCTGACTACAAGGTGACAAAAAAATCGATCAAAAGATATCAGGGGCGTACCAGTTACTTTTCTGAGGGAGTCAAAAATAAAAAATTGTAATTTGGACACCATCCGAATGAAAAAATCGTAATTACGAGTATGGGGCGTACGCATTTTTTTTCTGAGGGGGTCAAAAATAAAAATATGTGATTTTGACATTATTTGAATAAAAAAATCGCAATTATATATAATATATATGTATCAAATGATATCAGCGGCGTACCAGTTATTTTTCTGAAGGGGTCAAAAATAAAAAAAAATAATTTGGACACCATCCTTATTAAAGAATCGTAATCACGAGTATAGAGCGTTTAGAAGTCGATCAAATTATATCAGGGGCGTACCAGTTATTTTTCTGAGGGGGTCAAAATAAAAAAATGGAATTTCTACACCAGCCTAATAAAAAAATCGTAATTGAGATTATAGGGCGTACGCAATTTTTTTCTGAGAGGGTCAAAAATAAATAAAAAAAACTTTCAAGTTCTTATCTTCTTCCATTCGTGCCAGCTCCACTCCCGAACTCGAAGCAAAACTAAACCTGCCCGATCCTGACTCCAAGGTGACAAAAAAATCGATCAAATGATATCAGGGGCGCACCAGTTATTTTTCGGAGGGGGTCAGAAATAAAAAAAAATTATTTGGACACCATCCGAATGAAAAAATTGTAATTACGAGTATAGGGCGTACGCATTTTTTTTCTGAGAGGGTCAAAAATATAGAAAATAAACTTTCAAGTTCTTATCCTCTTTCATTTGTGGCAGCTCCACTCCCAAACGAAGTGTAACAAAACCTGTCCGATCCCGACTACGAGGTGGCAAAAAAAAATCGATCAAAAGATATCAGGGGCGTACCAGTTATTTTTCTGAGGGTGTCAAAAATAAAGAAATGTAATTTGGACACTATCCGAATGAAAAAATCGTAATTACGAGTATAGGGCGTACGCAATTTTTTTCTGAGAGGGTCAAAAATATAGATAAAAAACTCAAGTTTTTATCCTCATTTATTTGTGGCTGCTCTGCTCCCGAACCCGAAGTGAAACAAACCCTGCCGGATCCTGACCTGACTACAAGGTGACAAAAAAAAACAATCAAATTATATCAGGGGCGTACCAGTTATTCTTCTGAGGGGGTCAAAATTAAAAAAATGGAATTTGGGCACCAGCCTAATAAAAAAATCGTAATTAATATTATAGGGCGTACGCAATTTTTATCTGAGAGGGTCAAAATTAAAAAAAAAAACTTTCAAGTTCTTATCCTCTTCCATTCGTGCCAGCTCCACTCCCGAACTCGAAGTGAAACAGATCCTGCCCGATCCCGACTACAGGGTGAACCAAGTGGCCGAGCACAAGGACGAAATTCTCGACAAGATTTTGGAGAAGCCGGCCGAGCAAGCGCCGCCCGTCAAGCTGGTGATATCGAAGAAGAAGGGCAGCATTTTCAAGAGTCGCAGCTTGGTGGACGACAGCGGCGGGAAGAAAAGGAGGGCCCTGTATACGCACAAGTGGACGGAGGAGGACAAAGAGGATGCCAAAGAGGCCAGCAAGGTAAGGAGGTGTCGAAATATTTTTTTTTCATATAGAAATTATTCATTTATTGAAATTTGGAATTTTAATAATGTTGTTATTACAATATTAACTTTTTTGAGCGCATGCGATTTTTTCAAAAATGTCAGAAATTATTTTTGTAGGATGAAAAAAACCGTTTTTTTTTCTCTGGAAAGGTCTGATGGAAATAATCTAGAAATCATGGTAGTTTGCAAACCATAATTTGGAAAAATATACAGTATGTCTGAGAAAGTTGGCAACAAACTGAGAACTTTATTATCAATTTAAGCAGTAAAAAAATTCAGGAATAAAATCAATCTTCATCAAAAGTGAGGCAAGGCTTAAAAAATTCAAATATCAGATTTCCATTTTTTCAATCGTATACGAGGTATGTCAAAAAATATTAGTCCCTTTATTTTCGGCAAATATCGAAAATTGTTATGAGAAAAAAAGTTGACTAGAATTAAAAACTACGTTCAAATATTTAACTACATCTATCTGCAATGAAAATGAGGTTTTCTAATTTTTTACACATTTTTCAATATCGATTCTTTGTTATTATCAATTTTAGGAAAGAATTAATTCTCTGTAGAGAGTTCAGGTATCAATTTTCTTCAGTCATATGCGCGGTATGACAAAAACTATGGATTTGCTAAGTTGATAATTTAACCGGATTTCCATCGTTGATAGCTGATGTGTTCGGATATTTAAACGTAGTTTTCAAGTCAAGTTTTTTCAGTAATAATTTTCCATTTTCTTCAATTTTATTTGTTTATTTATTTATTTTTTTAGTTTTTTATTTTTACATTTATTTATTTTTTTATTTATTGAAAATGTGACTTCCAGTCAGAATCAAGTTCTGGTATAAGGAAGTATAGTTGACAATAATACCTAAAACTATACAATTATAATAAACTCATAAATAATATAATATTGGAATACATTGAGTATTAAATTTTGACAAATCATTTCATATTGGTGAGCAACAATCAATTTGAATATGCATCAAAAGTTGGAGAAAAAAAAAATTCATTCAGGAATTATAAATTTTGCAAGTTGGTATTTGAATTTTATTGTATTTCTGCATTTTTTATATTATCTGGTAATTTGTTTTATTCAAAAAAAACAGCGTGGGTGAATCTTGTGGTGTGCCCCAGGGGTCAATTCTCGGACCTATTTCATTTCTGATTCATATAAATTCTATCGCAAGTTTGAAATTACAAGGTTTGAAATTATTCGCCGATGACACATCTTTCATTTATTACGGAAAAAATATACAAGAAATAAAAAACCAAATGCTGGGAAAACTTGAAGTAATGTAAAGTAAAAGTAGATTGTTGAGTTTTTGAGGTATATACTGACATTAGAATATTTGAATAATGATAATAAATGTTTCTTTATGTTAACATTTGGGTTTTTGGCGAAAAAATATCACTTTCCGCACTTGTTCAATTATCCCATTTCTTTCAAGCAATCATAATTACACTAGACATGCAAAAACCTTGTTTTTTTTTAGACTGGCGAGGATGGGGGGAACCCATCTGCCGCAGTGGGTGAAGATGATTTTGGGTTCAAAGATGACCCTTTGCAAAGGATAACTAAGGCATGTGGTGACAATGAAATCACCGCTATTAAGTGCAGTAAAACAGATAAAGGGGTGAGTATTCATAATTATCTCGGCATGACACTTTTTTAATTCATTTTTAAAATAACATACATATCAGCGTAATACATTGATAATAATATACATTTTTTTCATAATATAAACATGATGAAAAAAGTTCAAAACTTGTCCATAATCATGTAATATTTTTTTCCTTCCACTGACCAACTGAAATTCATTTTCTCATTGAGAGTACAATTAACAAAAATAAATACATTTTTATATTATCTAAAAATAACTATAAGAAACATGATACATTGCATAAGTATTTTTTCATAAAATCAAATTTCTAAAATTTCTGAATTCTCAATTAACCACAATTTAATTTTTTTCTTGAATCCAAAAAAACTGATATATTATTTTAAAGACGGTGGCAATTTATTGTAAATTGTTTTACCTATATGAATGGCATGTTGTTGCATCAAAGTTGAAGAGAATTTCTCAGTTGATATCCAACCATCAATTTTATTTTTGGTGCCCTGTTTTACATGATTATAGCTTTGTAAATGTTTATTCATGAATTCTTAGGATTGAGTGACTTTTTCATGACATACCCTGTACAGACTGAAGTAGTCTACCTTCTATTCTGTATGCTGACATACCCTGTACAGACTGAAGTAGTCTACTTTCTATTCTCTATACTGATATACCCTATACAGACTAGAGTAGTATATATTTTATTCAGGAAGCTGATATACCCTGTATATTTCGTCTAGTTTTCGATGTTTTTACGTGATATCTCAGTTATCTTTGGAGTCTTAGAACTTTCTGAAAAGTAGTCTACCTTCCATTCTGTATATATACTGACATACCCTGTACAGACTGAAGTAATCTACCTTCTATTCTGTATGCTGACATACCCTGTACAGACTGAAGTAGTCTACCTTCTATTCTGTACAGACTGAAGTAGTCTACTTTCTATTCTGTATACTGATATACCCTATACGGACTGGAGTAGTATATTATATTTTATTCAGGAGGCTGATATACCCTGTATATTTTGTCTAGTTTTCGATGTTTTTACGTGATATCTCAGTTATCTTTGGTGATAGAACTTTGCGGTTTTCGCGATCTTGTGCCACTTTTTTGTGAAACTCAAGATGGCCTAATCAGATTTAACATAACTGTTTCCGTTTATGAGATACAGGGCGATTTTAAAAATGTATACTTTTCGAACCCCCTCTATATCTACGAAGTTTCTCAACGAAAATGTCAAATCAAAATCTTATCCCATAGGGAATTTTACGCAGAATCCAGTGGCGCACTGAATTTGTTTTTTTTTTTTTTCGGGGTATGGTTGTAGAGATACGACTGAAACTTATGATTTTTTCAATGGAACACCCTGTATTTCATTAGCTCATTAAATTCCATATCCATGACACAGCGATTTATTTGCTCCTATTATTTTCGGACATATTTCCGTCATGTGGTAGCGAGTAGACACAAAGAGCAAATGAAAGGGAAGAAAAATTCCGTTTTGCGAATATTCAAACTCGATTCAAACTGATCTAAGTTAGTGGCAGGGCGTCAATATTTCCGTGTACATTTCGTCCTCCTCGAAAGATAATGTGGTGCTCACACTACAAGTATTCTAATCCACATGCAGAGTTTTACACTGGTCCATCGGATATTATCTTGAGAGGGGAGCGAAATATTCTCGGAACTATTGACGCTCTGTCACTAACTTAGATCAGTTTGACTCGTGGCACGTTTGAATATTCGCAAAGGCGACATCATCCTCTTTCATCTGCTTCTTGTTTCAACTCGTTATCACATGACGGAAGTATGTCCGGCATGATAGCAGCAAATAAATCGCTGCAAATTTCCGCACAGAAAAGTGCAAATTTTCAATCATTTTGCTCGATAAACTACAATGATTTCACCTAATTTTATGAAGGGTGAAGGTACTCACCTATTTTCAATTCACTACACTGAATTTTCTCAACAGAAAAACAAGCAGGAATTGTAAATGAGAACAAAATCACTAAATCGTATGAAGCAACACTCTTAGCCAGCTGTCTGCTCATTATCTGCTGGTATTTCACCTTGCTCCACCGATAAGCTTCGATTTTCAGTGATTTGTCATTCACGATAATAAGTATACGGGATGGGGTAACTTGCTGGAGATTCATACGAATTGGATATTTTTGAAATACTGGATTGTCTCTCAATATCTTTAATTTTTTCTTTATCTGATTCATTTTTCAACACTATAGGTGTTTTCTATACAGGGTGTTTGATTCACCGACGTATATACGGAAAGAGGTGGTAGGTTATGTGATTTTGAACAGATTTGACCATATTTATTATTTTACAAAGTGTTACACTTTTCGAGAAATCATAGCTTATAAATTCAAAATTGGATGTCACAAAAATCGTTTTTTAAATTCTTACGAGCCAAAAAATGTTTTTATCACATTATATCCCATTTCGTGTTCAATATCGATGAAATGCGTATTCAACTTTCTAAGAAAAAAGAGATTGATTTAGATAAAATGTTTGAAATAACGATGATACCTCGAAATTCGAAACACTTTGTACAAAAGAATATAAAATATATGGTTTAATATGTTCGAAATGTTCATCACCTCATTTGAGATATACGTCGGTGAACCAAACATCCTGTATATTAAATTTATTACAGTGAATTTGATTCATTTTTCAATTGAATATTTCCTTTTTTCAATTCATTGATTCCATGTTTCAAAACATTAAATTTCGTAATGGTATCTCCCTGTATTTGTTGGTATCGACATACATTCTTGTCTTTGAGTGATTTGTTGGTGATTCATCAACTATCTTTGTTGATAAGGTGATGATTAACGGATTTTGGATGAATCAAAACGTCAGTCTGTTGTTCGTATCGGTCGAGTGAACTTCGTGAAATAATTATTTGTGGTCAAGTTATTTTTTTTTTCAAGAACAATTTATTTTAGTGTACGAGTTATAAGGCAATGCAATTGGATGTTTATTGCTTGAATTGTGAGTTTGATTGCCGCGAAGAGGGGGGGAGGGTTTCCAGGGGAAAGTCGGAATTCTAAAAGAATGAATTCATATCTATACAGGGTGTATCTAAATAACACCGAATAAATACAGGGTGCTTCAATATTCAGAATTCTGATCACCCTGTATCTGCTCCAATTAAATGTCAGTAGATAGTGAATCGAAAGTTAAGATAGGGACATGTAAGCCGTTTTGATCAATAATGAATACTTTCGACACAAAAAACTCCTGAAATTGAAAAATCTCGATTTTGATCACCCTATATCTGTGTAATCATTCCTGCTAGACCCCAAGTGTGATACATTGATGAAATCAGCTTTTCAGGGAGAATCTAAAAATGCAATTAAATACAGGGTGCTCTATTTCAAATAACGAAGTTGCTAGTTGTTTCTGATAGAAGTGGCAACACTGTATCGATGAAAAGGTTTTAGACGCATAGAGAATGTTCAATTATCAAAGCATCCCAATTTTCAGAATGTTCTGTCTTTTCGTTCTCCAGATACTTCTAATAGGCCATCCACCGTGGATCAGCCTGTATATCCATCACGATATGGGTATAATTTACAATATGACATCCATGGATTAGAATTTTACAAGTCAAATCCTTATAATATGGACACAGTCTTGTACAACAAATTGAAGAATGAAATAAAAAACATAACTAGTTTGAATAAGTCAGCTATAAGAACGATATTGAAATGAAATATTATCTAATATATTTATGAACAAAAAAAATGGATATATAAAGAAATATTATAAGAAAAATTCACACCAACAAATTCAGTCCAACATAAGCATGTCAGGACTAATCATACCTTTGAAGACATCCATTTCGATACTTGGTATTACTATCAGCAATAACCTTTCTTGGGAAAATCACATGAGATCAATTGCTAAAAGTGCATCCCAAAAACTTGGTTTTCTGTTTCGGGCCAGGAGCTATTTCACTTCCAGTCAGCTGCTTATGATCTATAAGGCACAGATTCGACCTGTCCTGGAATACTGTTCCCATATTTAGAGTGCAGCACCCAAACATACCCTGAAATTGTTGGATTCTGTCTAAAAAAGGGTAATTCGTCTCGTGGGTGATGCCTCGCTCACAAACTCATTCACTTCTCTGGAACACCGTAGAGAAGTTGGCGATCTGGCCCTATTTTATAGATATTTTCATGGACGATGCTCTTCTGAAATATCAGCAGTTGTTCCTCCCTTGGCAGTCCCCGCGAGATTAACCCGTCGAGTTGAGGCTTCGCACCCCTTCGTTGTCACTTTGGAGACCTGCAGAACATCTCTTTCCAAATACTCGTTGATCCAACGAACGGTGAGGCTCTGGAACACATTGCCAAGGGAGGTGTTCCCCGAGGCATATAACCTCCAGAAATTTAAGAAGATCACCAATTCCTACCTTATTTCCCTCGGTTCTCATGATGTTCACGAAAATAGTACATTATATACCGCGGGACTGAAGTAGTACATTTAATCCTGAAGGTAAAGTTTATGGCACGACCGCAGGGAGGGCCATAATTTACCTGAAGGATTAAATGTACTTCAGTCGCAAGGTATATACGATACTTTTCGTACTTCCGGTATGATTTTATTAATTATTTCAATAATTTCAATCAGTTTTTTCTCTCTTCAACTCATTTAATAAACTGTCTTTAAAATAAGTTACCATAGTAACATTGCGTTGTGACAGTTATAATTTAGAAACATTGTCATTACTAGTGTCATTGTAAAGAAACATTGTTATTGATAATTATTGGTATCATGAGTGAAGAAGGTGTATCTGATATTGATAAAAGAGCAGCCGAAGTAGGTGAAGAATTGTTACCACCGAAATCTAGAAAACTATACGAGCAGCAGTACGATGCTTTTAAAAAGTGGTGCCGCTTAAAAAATGTGAGACAACCTACTGAAAATGCGCTGTTAGTCTTCTTCGATGATAAATCAAAAGCGGTTTGTGCCTCAACTCTCTGGGCACATTACTCAATGCTGAAATCGGTTATTAACATTAGAGAAGATATTGATATAAGTAAATTTCCAAAATTATTAGCTTTTTTGAAGAGAAGAAATGAGGGATTTAAGCCAAAGAAGTCAAGAATTCTCACGTCTGAGCAGGTAGATCAGTTCTTACGGGAGGCTCCGGATGATAAATATTTAATGCTTAAGGTAAATTTGGAAATTTGTTTATATTCAGAAATTTTAAGAAATCAATTTTTTTGTAGGTTGCACTTATTTTGGGCGTTGCGGGAGCTTGTCGTGGAAAAGAGTTGGTTGATTTAGAAATCGACGATGTGAGAGATTTGGGCGATTCCTTCCTAATTGCGATTAGAAACACCAAAAATAAAATTGACCGAAATTTTGTGATCAAAAATTCAGAAAACAGTGCCATCAGTTTTGTGGCGATATTTCGGAAATATGTGGCATTGCGAAAGACAGGGACAACTCATTCAAAATTTTTTGTTCAATACATCAACAAAGAATGTAATACGCGAGTAGTAGGAAAAAACATGTTTGGTACATTTCCACGGCAAATAGCAGCTTTCTTGAAATTAGAAAATGCGACGTCTTATACGGGACATTGTTTTAGACGCACATCTGCGTCTTTGTTAGCTGATTCGGGAGCAACAATAGACGTGCTGAAGAGACATGGAGGATGGAAATCCTCCAACGTGGCCGAGGGATATATTGAATCGTCTATTAAAAATAAACAAAAAATTTCAGATAAAATATTTGGTCAAGTCGCCGATTCGTCCACTATAGTTATGCCACAGTCCTCATTCTCGCTGCTTCCTGTTTCCGCAGGATCTTCGAAACAAACACCAGTTCAATATGAAAAGGACCTATCTGTTACTCGTCAGTTATCTGCTGCATTAACCCAGGAAAGACTGGTCAATATGACGAACTGTCACAATATTAATTTGAATATTAACGTTAATTACCATTCTAATTAATTATATTTTTCAATAAAATATCCCTTAAATTCGTTTGTTTGTGATTTAATCGTTCCGGGAGTTTCGTCAATATTTAATCCCGGAGGGATTAAATGTGACACTTTAGTACCTGTCACAAGGGAGTGAAGTTGTCACTTTAGGCCCGGAAGTACGAAAAAAAATGTACTCCGCAGTTCTACACGGTGGTGCGGAACGTGAAACAGGCCCACCAAATCCAGGAGATCGGCGAGTTCCAGGAGTTCAACGACGACGTGGAATACATCCTGGACGCGTTGCAGGACAACAATCCGATCAGCACTCGGTGTCTGTCGGCCATCACGTTGGCCTCGAAATGCATGGCTCCGGCCTTCCGGATGCACGTCAGAGCGCACGGGACGGTGTCGAAGTTCTTCAAGGCGTTGCACGACGCCACTAAAGATCAGGTGAGAAAATGGCGGTCCGAAATGATGCTTGTAATAGTATACAGTGTGTCCCACTTACCATGCTCACCATGGGTATCTTTTTAACGGTGAGAGATACGAGGTCGGGTGAATGACACCAAATGTGGAGTTTGTCAAGGCCAACTATAATGTGAAAAAATATTTTGATAAAATCTATTCGTTTTTGTTTTATACGCAAAAAACAGATTTTGGTCATTTTCATGTCTCCTCCGTAATTTCTTTATTTATGAAAATATTCAAATAGGAATTTCACATTCTCATGGCAGTTTTTTGAAGTGATTTCGAAAACAATATGAAATTTATACCAACTCTTCTAGAATTTGAGATATCAGCACCAACTTTAGTTTTTCAAATGTAGGTCATAGCTCACCATGACATAGTTACGAAAAACTTTTTTTTTCTCTCACAGATGATATGTCACAGTAATAGTTTTGTGTTGATAACAACGGAGTTATCGTCATTTAAACAAAAACAAAAAATTATTTGGAAGCCGCCATCTTGAATTTATAAATTTCAGCAAAAAATCATGATCTCCGACCTTAATAATTCTCACTCACCAATTCTGAATGGAATCGGACCAAATCTTGTCCGCCATCTTGGAGCAGCCATTTTTTTTAATTCAACAAAAATTCCATAATGTATTGTCACCGAAATTATGAACACCTGCCAAATTTCAACTTAATCGGAGTTATGGAATTTTTGTTGACATTAAAAAAATGACTGCTCCAAGATGGCGGACAAGATTTGGTCCGATTCCATTCAAAATTGGTAAGTGGGGGTTTTTGAGGTCGGATATAAATTTTTTTGTTGAAATTTATAAATTCAAGATGGCGGCTTCCAAATATTTTTTTGTTTTTGTTTAAATGACGATAACTCCGTTGTTATCAACACAAAACTATTACTGCGACATATCATCTGTGAGAGAAAAAAAAGTTATAAAGATATCTCAAATTCTAGAAGAGTTGGTATAAATTTCATATTTTTTTCGAAATCATTTTGAAAAACTGCCATGAGAATGTGAAATTCCTATTTGAATATTTTCATAAATAAAGAAGTTACGGAGGAGACATGAAAATGATCAAAATCTGTTTTTGTCTATAAAACAAAAACGAATAGATTTTATCAAAATATTTTTTCACATTATAGTCGGCCTTGACAAACTCCACATTTGGTGTCATTTAACCGACCTCGTATCTCTCACCGTTAAAAAGATACCCATGGTGAGCATGGCAAGTGGGACACTGTAGTTTAGTGCGGGGTCCTTTTTACAACTGAAAACGAAAGAGTTAGGGAGGTGGTTTCCATTTTAAGAGAAGCATTCTGTACAAACTTTTGTCTGCAACCGACACAAAAGTCGTCCATTTTGATACCAAAATTAGCTCTTAAATTGACGTTTCTATTACTGACACAAAAATAGGTATGTTGCTAGGCAACATATTTAGTTCCTAGGAGCTAAAGTTGAATTTTAGTTTCTAGGAGCTAAAGTTGAACTTTAGCTCCTAGGAACTAAAAAAGATCTACTGGACGTCATCAAGAATAAACAAAATTGTGACGGTTGGTTATTTGGGTTGAGACGCATACCTGATTTGTTCCCGATTTCAGCAGATTTGGCATTTCATACCCATGTTGGAGATATAAATACACCTTATTATAGTTTAGTATTGGAATTATTAACATCTCATGCAGTTAAGTATTTTTGTTTTGATCAGAGAAGCCTTCAAGATTCAAATACTTGCTTGATCTGTATTTCATTCGTTATTCTCGGGATGGATAACTTGTTTTTGAATAATCACGGCAAGCAATAGTTTTTTTTCTCGAACAACGATATTGTTTACCTTCATTTGATTATCAAGCGAAAAACAGGAGAGGAATAAATAATCGCTATTATTATTATTGTTGATATCGCTCACTAACCTAACATTTTCCACGTCTTGTTCATATAGCTGACACTGGCGCGGTATTTGCCATTAGAGCACCTGGTTCATACACAAATATGTCACTCTGTGGTTGTATTTATATTGAAACTACAATTCTAACATCCTAGGAAACCTAACCTGCTGTTAATGCAGGTAGAATATTCTCACCACATGGATTATTTGTCAATATTTGTTGCATTGCATACATATGGCACGGCATTGGTGGTTACTTCACACGTTTATTTGAGTTATTTGTTTCGGTTGCAGAAAAAATAGCATGTTTCATTCGGATCAAAAGTGACTTAGTTCGACTCGCAAATTTTGCTTTCGCTCGGCTTCGCTAAACGCTCCGCCTCGCAAATGCAAAATTCGCTTGTCAAACAAAGTGTCACTTTTGATCCTAATAAAACAATCTACTATTTTCTGCCGAATAAAACCGATGTTTTTCTTGTTGAAGAGTCTGGGTTTGTGCACGGCCACCGTGATGTTCGTTCTCAGCCAAGACCGGTTGAACATGGACCTCGATCGTGATTGCTTGGAGCTGATGCTGAATCTTCTGGAATCTGATGTCAGCTATCAGCAGGCTCTCGACATTTGCGGTCTCAGTTCGAGTCAATTGGACAAGAACAAGCAGAAAGTGCGAGAATTGTGCGCTGAGATACAGAGCCAAGGGCATGCGATGCATCTCAATTTGGAATCGATAACGGTGAGTTTCTCCAGAATAACTGAACTATTGTGATTCTTTGCGAAAAAATTTGCCACAAGTCGAAAAAACATATTTCGAATTTTTTTCACCAACCTGTATAAAAACCTACATTTTTCTTCAGATGGTTCGGAAATTTAGGTTCCTATTCGAAATAAGAAACTTTGTGCCGACTTTAAGCATACTCTGCATGTAGATAAAGGAGTAAAAAGGTAATTTTGCACTTTTTTTTTTCGAAAAAATTTTTTGCCACCTACGTATTTTCGTCTGAAAAACACGAATTTCACAATGACAATGTGAACAAACCGCTGTTATCGAGATATTCCACGAAAAAGTTCGAAATTTCACTTCATTTTACTACTCATTTTATTTATTAAGGGTCCTTTAAAAGGAAGAAGAACTGCTCCTGTACCAAACCAGCATTTTTTGGAAATTTGTCCATTTCCGGATAACCATAAAAAACCCTAATTTATTCCTGAAATATAGGGAATAGACTAGAACTAAAGCAAGACAAGAAACCAGATACAGGTGCGAATCTTGTCCAGATAAGCCGTTACCACCGATACAACAACTAACTGCACAATCAAATCTTTTCTATTTTTCCTCTACTTATACTTTTTATGAGAGAGTAATTGTCTTCTATTATTAATTCATCATTATAAATTAAGCTCTGTTTACTACTGAACTTAGATGGAGTAAAATCCTCGCGGTGAATTGCATATACCCACATTTTCGATAGCTCCTCGTCCAACGGGAAACTAAAAGCATGAACTTTTGAACCACCCACATAATTCCCCCGACAAAAGGGAACACAACATTTGAAAGGCATTGTTATTTCGCCGATCACAACACAAAATATTTCAGAAAACAGTAATTTTTCCGCCAATTATTTTGATGAATAAACAACAAAAGAATTCGGGACCGTTTCAAAAACATACGTGAATCACCGATGAATTAACACGAACTGACGCGTTAGTCGACAAGCGATAAAATAAAACACTAGCCTCTCTTGGTGACGTCACGAGCTGTTTAAGTCAGAGTCTGCTGGCCTTGTTGTATCGGTGGTAACGGATAAGCCCCCACTATGCCCTGCGTCATGTTTCAAGAATAAATAATATGTTTATATATATTATAATACATTATATGAATACAATTTTTTTTTTAAATAAAAATTAAATTCGTGTAATGTTTTGAATTATTAGGCAACAAGTTGTCGTGACAATCGTCGAATTATTATGACAAAATAGTATAACTTATGGTATAACATACAGAGTGATCAATTTGGAGCATAGCAGCGTAAATATTTTCGAAACCGAGGCCTACTAGATGACATTCGACGCTGAAAATAGATCTGTAACAAGTTTCATGAAAAAATATTCAACATTTTAGACAGTGCCGTGCGTCCTTTTAAAAGGACTCGTTCAATTGAATGCCTCTGCATTGATCGAGAAGTGTGAAACATTACCACAAATATAGAAAAAAGTAGGCATACTACGATATTTGTTGAGTCACTCATTGCAAAATCACAGAAAACACATCGTTTCTTAACCGTCACTATCGATCCAGAACTTAACAAAAACCTAACGAACACGACTGACCTTGGCGACACCTTCAAACCGTCAGCTGAATTAGAAAAATACAGGTCTCGTTTTGAAGTCCTTTTAAAAGGACGGTAGGCATAAATGGGTTGAAAAAATCACTCCATAAATAAAAAATTGTTCAAGATGACCCGCTTTCAAAACTCTATGTTATTATTCGAAGGTGGGGCAATTGGCGATGGAAACATTGCTAAGACAAAACCCTAACGATCACGAATGACCCTGGCGACACCTTCTAACCGTCAGCTGAATTAGAAAAATACAGGTCTCGTTTTGAAGTCCTTTTAAAAGGACGGTAGGCATAAATGGGTTGAAAAAATCACTCCATAAATAAAAAATTGTTCAAGATGACCCGCTTTCAAAACTCTATGATATTATTCAAAGGTGGGGCAATTGGCGATGGAAACATTGCTAAGACAAAACCCTAAGGATCACGACTGACCCTGGCGACACCTTCTAACCGTCAGCTGAATTAGAAAAATACAGGTCTCGTTTTGAAGTCCTTTTAAAAGGACGGTAGGCATAAATGGGTTGAAAAAATCACTCCATAAATAAAAAATTGTTCAAGATGACCCGCTTTCAAAACTCTATGAAATTATTCAAAGGTGGGGCAATTGGCGATGGAAACATTGCTAAGACAAAACCCTAACGATCACGTCTGACCCTGGCGACACCTTCTAACCGTCAGCTGAATTAGAAAAATACAGGTCTCGTTTTGAAGTCCTTTTAAAAGGACGGTAGGCATAAATGGGTTGAAAAAATCACTCCATAAATAAAAAATTGTTCAAGATGACCCGCTTTCAAAACTCTATGATATTATTCAAAGGTGGGGCAATTGGCGATGGAAACATTGCTAAGACAAAACCCTAACGACCACGTCTGACCCTGGCGACACCTTCTAACCGTCAGCTGAATTAGAAAAATACAGGTCTCGTTTTGAAGTCCTTTTAAAAGGACGGTAGGCATAAATGGGCTGAAAAAATCACTCCATAAATAAAAAATTGTTCAAGATGACCCGCTTTCAAAACTCTATGATATTATTCAAAGGTGGGGCAATTGGCGATGGAAACATTGCTGAGACAAAACCCTAACGATCACGACTGACCCTGGCGACACCTAACCGTCAGCTGAATTAGAAAAATACAGGTCTCGTTTTGAAGTCCTTTTAAAAGGACGGTAGGCATAAATGGGTTGAAAAAATCACTCCATAAATAAAAAATTGTTCAAGATGACCCGCTTTCAAAACTCTATGATATTATTCAAAGGTGGGGCAATTGGCGATGGAAACATTGCTAAGACAAAACCCTAAGGATCACGACTGACCCTGGCGACACCTTCTAACCGTCAGCTGAATTAGAAAAATACAGGTCTCGTTTTGAAGTCCTTTTAAAAGGACGGTAGGCATAAATGGGTTGAAAAAATCACTCCATAAATAAAAAATTGTTCAAGATGACCCGCTTTCAAAACTCTATGAAATTATTCAAAGGTGGGGCAATTGGCGATGGAAACATTGCTAAGACAAAACCCTAACGATCACGTCTGACCCTGGCGACACCTTCTAACCGTCAGCTGAATTAGAAAAATACAGGTCTCGTTTTGAAGTTCTTTTAAAAGGACGGTAGGCATAAATGGGTTGAAAAAATCACTCCATAAATAAAAAATTGTTCAAGATGACCCGCTTTCAAAACTCTATGATATTATTCAAAGGTGGGGCAATTGGCGATGGAAACATTGCTAAGACAAAACCCTAACGATCACGACTGACCCTGGCGACACCTTCTAACCGTCAGCTGAATTAGAAAAATACAGGTCTCGTTTTGAAGTCCTTTTAAAAGGACGGTAGGCATAAATGGGTTGAAAAAATCACTCCATAAATAAAAAATTGTTCAAGATGACCCGCTTTCAAAACTCTATGATATTATTCAAAGGTGGGGCAATTGGCGATGGAAACATTGCTAAGACAAAACCCTAACGATCACGAATGACCCTGGCGACACCTTCTAACCGTCAGCTGAATTAGAAAAATACAGGTCTCGTTTTGAAGTCCTTTTAAAAGGACGGTAGGCATAAATGGGTTGAAAAAATCACTCCATAAATAAAAAATTGTTCAAGATGACCCGCTTTCAAAACTCTATGATATTATTCAAAGGTGGGGCAATTGGCGATGGAAACATTGCTAAGACAAAACCCTAACGATCACGACTGACCCTGGCGACACCTTCTAACCGTCAGCTGAATTAGAAAAATACAGGTCTCGTTTTGAAGTCCTTTTAAAAGGACGGTAGGCATAAATGGGTTGAAAAAATCACTCCATAAATAAAAAATTGTTCAAGATGACCCGCTTTCAAAACTCTATGATATTATTCAAAGGTGGGGCAATTGGCGATGGAAACATTGCTAAGACAAAACCCTAACGATCACGACTGACCCTGGCGACACCTTCTAACCGTCAGCTGAATTAGAAAAATACAGGTCTCGTTTTGAAGTCCTTTTAAAAGGACGGTAGGCATAAATGGGTTGAAAAAATCACTCCATAAATAAAAAATTGTTCAAGATGACCCGCTTTCAAAACTCTATGATATTATTCAAAGGTGGGGCAATTGGCGATGGAAACATTGCTAAGACAAAACCCTAACGATCACGAATGACCCTGGCGACACCTTCTAACCGTCAGCTGAATTAGAAAAATACAGGTCTCGTTTTGAAGTCCTTTTAAAAGGACGGTAGGCATAAATGGGTTGAAAAAATCACTCCATAAATAAAAAATTGTTCAAGATGACCCGCTTTCAAAACTCTATGATATTATTCGAAGGTGGGGCAATTGGCGATGGAAACATTGCTAAGACAAAACCCTAACGATCACGAATGACCCTAGCGACACCTTCTAACCGTCAGCTGAATTAAAAAAATACAGGTCTCGTTTTGAAGTCCTTTTAAAAGGACGGTAGGCATAAATGGGTTGAAAAAATCACTCCATAAATAAAAAATTGTTCAAGATGACCCGCTTTCAAAACTCTATGATATTATTCAAAGGTGGGGCAATTGGCGATGGAAACATTGCTAAGACAAAACCCTAACGATCACGAATGACCCTGGCGACACCTTCTAACCGTCAGCTGAATTAGAAAAATACAGGTCTCGTTTTGAAGTCCTTTTAAAAGGACGGTAGGCATAAATGGGTTGAAAAAATCACTCCATAAATAAAAAATTGTTCAAGATGACCCGCTTTCAAAACTCTATGATATTATTCAAAGGTGGGGCAATTGGCGATGGAAACATTGCTAAGACAAAACCCTAACGATCACGAATGACCCTGGCGACACCTTCTAACCGTCAGCTGAATTAGAAAAATACAGGTCTCGTTTTGAAGTCCTTTTAAAAGGACGGTAGGCATAAATGGGTTGAAAAAATCACTCCATAAATAAAAAATTGTTCAAGATGACCCGCTTTCAAAACTCTATGATATTATTCGAAGGTGGGGCAATTGGCGATGGAAACATTGCTAAGACAAAACCCTAACGATCACGAATGACCCTAGCGACACCTTCTAACCGTCAGCTGAATTAGAAAAATACAGGTCTCGTTTTGAAGTCCTTTTAAAAGGACGGTAGGCATAAATGGGTTGAAAAAATCACTCCATAAATAAAAAATTGTTCAAGATGACCCGCTTTCAAAACTCTATGATATTATTCGAAGGTGGGGCAATTGGCGATGGAAACATTGCTAAGACAAAACCCTAACGATCACGACTGACCCTGGCGACACCTTCTAACCGTCAGCTGAATTAGAAAAATACAGGTCTCGTTTTGAAGTCCTTTTAAAAGGACGGTAGGCATAAATGGGTTGAAAAAATCACTCCATAAATAAAAAATTGTTCAAGATGACCCGCTTTCAAAACTCTATGATATTATTCGAAGGTGGGGCAATTGGCGATGGAAACATTGCTAAGACAAAACCCTAACGATCACGACTGACCCTGGCGACACCTTCTAACCGTCAGCTGAATTAGAAAAATACAGGTCTCGTTTTGAAGTCCTTTTAAAAGGACGGTAGGCATAAATGGGTTGAAAAAATCACTCCATAAATAAAAAAATGTTCAAGATGACCCGCTTTCAAAACTCTATGATATTATTCAAAGGTGGGGCAATTGGCGATGGAAACATTGCTAAGACAAAACCCTAACGATCACGAATGACCCTGGCGACACCTTCTAACCGTCAGCTGAATTAGAAAAATACAGGTCTCGTTTTGAAGTCCTTTTAAAAGGACGGTAGGCATAAATGGGTTGAAAAAATCACTCCATAAATAAAAAATTGTTCAAGATGACCCGCTTTCAAAACTCTATGATATTATTCAAAGGTGGGGCAATTGGCGATGGAAACATTGCTAAGTCTGACGTCGAAAAGGGCGGGCGAATGGTTCAAGGAGGAATTGAGAGAATTGGGCGGTTTGGAGCACATCATGAAGACGATACACGAATGCTGTCGACAGGTGTCGGATTATGTGGTCACGTGGACGGACACGTTGCTGGACAAACTGAAGAAGGTCGACAGGTGCTTGAGGGTGCTAGAGAACGTGAGTTCGAATTTCTATGAATTTTTTCGTGTTGGGAAAGCTGATATAATTAACGAACATTTGACCGATTCGGCTCCAGTTTGTTCTGTTCTCATTCTTTTTTCTCATGGAATTCACTGTTTAAACAGAAATATTTTGCATAGGTGACGCATAATAACGAGGAAAACCAAAATTACATCCTGAAATACGATAGCGGCGCCATCTTGGATACTCTAGTGAATCTCTACAAATTGTGCGATGGAGAGATCCCTCTCTATCCCATCACTGACATTAGCGATAAAACTTCCACTGGCACCATCATCAGGGAGGCACTCTTAGTCACCCTCAAAGTGTTGATCAATTTAACTCATCACTTCAATAAGCAATGTAAGTTGAAGGAAAATTGAAATCCTCACTCAAATGAGTTTCTTATAATTTTTTTTTGACACTCGATCAGGAATCATGATAGATCATGATGTATTTTGTTTTCAGCTATTGGTAGCCAATTAATAGGATCCAGAGCGGGAATTATAGAAACTAGTCTTCACTTGTTATTGCAAGTGCCTAATTATATACCTGAGCAAAAAAAGTTTGAATTGGGGGTGTTGGTGAGTGATTTTAAATTTTCAATTGTTTTACAGCTGTGATGTATTTTTTTTCCTCTATATTTTCAGGTGTTAATGTTACTAATAAATTTAATACAGGACCAGGACGCGAACAAAAAACTTCTCATGGAAGCCAAAGCGCCCTCAAAGTTGGAGAGCATATATTCGCGTGAGTTAATATACTCTTTTGCACAACAAATTATAAAGCACTACACTGTTTTATCACTAACCAAACCGATTTTTTTTTCGGTTTGTTTAGTGGTAAAACAGTGTAGTGTGTTATCGTGCCAAAAGTTCCAGTCTTCGATATACAGTGTGTCCATTTAGTGCGTAATTCTGCGATATCTCGGAAGCCATAACCAATAGAGAAAAACTTTGTAGGAAAAACTTTTTCAGTTACTGAAGTTGCTTATTTCAAAAATATTTTCAACACAACTGGGTGTTTTATAAAAGCGGAATGACTCGGAGACGACTTTTTTTAAATGGAACACCCAGTATTGTTTATTCGGAATTTATTCCGCCGAGGTATACCTTCACATCGCTGTAAAAAAATTGGAATCGATTGCGACGTTGCCAAGTTATAATTGATAAATCTATTTTCATCACTCACGGAACACCAATCCAGTAATTTTGCGACATGTTTTTCAACAGGTTGCTCAATTTTGCATTTAGAATTTTGCAAGATTCAGATGACATTCATTAGAATTTTTCAAATGGAACACCCTGTATTTTTATTCACAAATTTATTCCGGCATGTTTCGCCTTTTTATCGCTGAAAATAAAATCAAAATTGGCTGCGGCGTTGTCAAGTTATGAATAATTTCCTTATTTTTACTATTATTTCGGGGTAATTTGTATGCCATAGTTTTTTCATTTATTTGTATTGTGGAAATATTGCGTTGCTACGGTATAATCAAATTTCTTCATTGGCCATTCATATTTTTCTACAATAGGAACATATACAGGCTCTCCAAGTTTGAATTTAAAACAGAGTGGATTTTGACAAGTTGATCCAAAATGCTACTTTCACTGATTTTTTGCAGACTATGAATTAATTTTTCGAAATACACTTCCATTATTCCTGTAATGACCTGTCAAACATCGCCACAATCAAATATATCTTGAATTTATTTAAAATTTCGGTGAATTCCCTTCCGAAACCCGCGTAGTAAAAAAAATATTGTTTGTATCATCATGTAGAGTTTGCCTGCTTCAAGTCAAATGGAGATTTGAATTGTGGGAATGACGACAATAAAAGTGGTCCAAATTTCGAAAGATTTTGGTGTTTTTCCAGCAACGAAAAGGTGAATGATATCGGAATAAATCTGTGATGAAAAATACAGGGTGTTCCATTTGAAAAATTCTAATGAACGTCGTCTGAATCTTACAATATTTAAAATGTGAATTTCAGCACCCTGTGAAGGATCATCTCGCAAAATCAATGGATTGGTGTACGTGAGACCTTGCTACTACTGTATGCCAAACATATATTCAAAATTTAAATAAATGAATATACCATACCCAATTCGATATGACCCTTCAATAGTGGTAAAAATGGGTTTATCAATTATAACTTGGCAACGCCACAACCAAATTCAATTTTTTCCACAGTGATAGAGAGCTATAGCTCAGCGGAATAAATTTCGATTAAAAAATACTGGGTGTTCTCGTCTCCGAGTCGTCCCGCTTTCATAACACTTTTAATAATGGAAGAAATTTGTTCTTAAAAATTTTCCTCTAGTGATAATTAGAGTTCCTAAATGTACTTGACACTGCAGTTTTGACGTTCTTTGTATATGAGAGGACGGACACTAGACAAGCAGTGACAGTCAAACATAACCACAAACGATATTGAAGCAAATCATATATTTGCCAGACAAGGACAAGAATATGTTTTTCGCTAAGATAAAGGATCCTCGCATCTTCCATCCTTCAAAAATCTTGGGAAGAGTACATCCATATATCTTCCTCTGTCTTTGCTTTTTGTATGAAAGTGCATAGCGTCTTCTCGAGTGGGTAAAAGGGTACGATAAATTGATGAGAAAATTATTTCTTCTCGAAATATTGAATGATAAGGCTGAAGGGCCTCAATGGAGATCAATATCAAGTTTGTATGTACCGGATGAACAACTAAGAACGGCTGTCGGCCATATCTCAGCAACGAATAATGATACAAGTTTGAGATAGAATAAATCTAATGGTATGCATATTATTACACGATGTACTAGAGAAACTAAATAGAGAGTTGAAGTGTTGTCATGAACGTTAACGTAAACGTAGAAATTGACAGCTACGCATGCGCATTCTCCAATTCTTCACGTTTGCGTTGTTAGTGGGCTTACGGGTGTACGTTTCACGTATACCTTAAATATCAACGTACGTTATCCAAACTATACTCGAAATATGCCGATGAGTCAAAAATATCAAATTCGGGATCACCAACGAGTTCTGCATCAAGGAGTCCTCTAATTTTGACAGGAATAAATGTTCGAATCTGAACACACAACCAAAAATGACCAATACAAACCGAAAACAAAATGTATTATTACGTTATGATGACAGTGACGACCAAAGTGGCGACTTCAACTCAATTCAACAACAATACGTAAACGTTATTTTTCGTACGTTAACGTCTACGTGGAGGTCTACGTACAGTGATTACTTCAACTCTCTAATCTCAACAAACCAACGAAAACCGCAACATGATAGCTTTTCGCCAACGGAAGATATAACTATCAAAGTTGGAAGAATGATAGATAGATATGACGCCGTTCTTAGTTATTCACCTGGTACATATATATATCGACGAAATAGATATACTATTCCTATGAAATAAGTCTCTTATATGTATACATTCAGTTGAATATTTTGTTGTCACAAAAGTTCAGAATGGGGTAAAAACAGATAAATTCCAACCAATAAAACATACTTTTATTTCGTATGGAACAATTCCACTTGTACAAGAGTGGTAGGTATTAGGTAATAAGTTACCTATTAATGAATGAACAAATGAAATGATATGGCAACAATAACAGCTGATTTCAGTTAGGATGAATAATAAAGGTTCTCCAAGACATACAGAAGTAGGTATAAATGGATTTCAGCGCTCGACTGATAGATCGCCGTTCAAATTACTAAAGGAGATTGTTTGTTTGAACCGGGCCATCGGATGATCATTCTCAAGTATTTTTCTTTCAAAACATCTTCGAAATGAATTTCATTATCTGCAAGTTCTTCTTTTCTTGTTGGTTCTAAATTGGAATAAGGTTATTTTCGATACTCGCTCAGTTTATAAATTGTGGTTTCGGCTCTTTCTCTCAATACGATCCTATCCTTCAATATTGTTAGCATCTAGCAACTAGATGCGCTACTGCTCAGTGGAATGTGCTTAGATCAGAGCCTATGACAGACGTGTTTGAAGACTGGCTCATACAGTGTTCGGCAGGCAGCCGAGTTAAGAGCAAGTGTAACCCTTGTCCATGTCATTTGTGCTCGTGTTTATTGAGTTATAACCATTCTTCCGTTCTGGAGTGTACCTGATGAAAATGCGTTGAAACATATTCTATAACCTACCAAGAAATTTGAATACCTCGCAAATGTTGTGGCCTGAACCTACATTCCATGCCGGCCGCATCATATTCTGTTTCCATTTTTGTAGAATTGCGTTATCCGATGAAAATTCGATTAGAGTGAATTGATTTTCTATGTTCTCACAGTTGGAAACTGCACAAACTTGCATATTTCTCCTAATTCTCTCAATTCGTCAAACCTTTGATATTTATGTCATGTGCGTCCGTGTACTGTCAGTTCCCGCTTTTTCCATCAATTTATTTATGGTTATGTCTGATTGTCAGTGGTTGTCATAGTGTACGTACTCTAAAGCCCGTCTAAAGTCATTCTTACCTGTTTGACTCAAACGGTTTGAAATGTCAAGAAATCATTGTCACACGATTTGAAGATTTTTGAATAAAAATATTGGTTAAATATTGTTACATGAGTCCTACCTATGATTTTTGATGAAGTCAGACTGGAAGATATCCCATAGTAAATTTCAAAACTTCCTAAGAATAGATGGGAAATGTTTCATATTTTTATCAATCCATATATGCACGTGAACGTATATCTGCAGAAATGAGGTAAGATCATAACAAAGTCTCTACTCAACCAAGCATAAATTTGGGACTGGAGAATGATGGAAGTAAAATATGGTGCGCGCATTCGGCCATTATTACGTATTGAAAATTTCATAAAAATCACTCGACCGCCTACTATGATTTAACTTCGTCACAACGAGCGAGACATTGATTCTACATTTTCCCGCTAGATGGTAATGCTGCTATTGCTGCTGTGACGAGTGAAAATAAAATGGCAAATGGCATTTCAGGTACGCGGAACATATGTAACAGTGGGATTATTCAACTCTCGATTCGAAAAATCTGCGACAATATCAAAACTGACAGATGTTATAATTGTGCAATGTTGCCATCTATTAGAAGATCGACGGAACCATTGCCCTCACTGTTCTCGAGAGGTCGAGTAAAATTTCTGAAACAAAAGCGCATCAGTAATTACACCATATCTTACTTCCATCATTGATTGGGGCAAGACAAAAATATTCCTTCAATTATCCGAAATGTTCCTCAGTCCAATTACCAGGACAGACAGTTTTGAAGTATTTATAATATTAATGATAGTATTTCTTGTTAATTCCTAAGATATAAAATAATAATCAATAATCAATGAAGAAAACATGAAAACAAACATCCTAACCTTATTGTTTGATTCAACATGACAAATATTTAGAACGAGTTCTAAATTTCATCTGCTGTTTGACGTGACGTCACTGATGACATCACGGATCTGTAGTTTTATCAAATTGTTGGACCGTGAGACACGGCCTTGATATACAGAAAACGTCAAAACAGCAGTGTCAAATACATTTACGAACTCTAGTGATAATGGATTTCGAGATATCGAAGAATTACGCACAAAATGGACGCACTGTATAAAGAATAAAGCGTTATTAATCGCGTACTTTTCATTAGTTGAGCTATTTTTTTTTTTTTTAGGGGAAGAGAGTGCAGTAGAGGCCTTAATTACGCAATTTTATCATTGGGAGGGATGTGCGAAAATTGCTGAAAGTAAAACAAATGCCATCCTTGATGGGGAAAAAGATGGCGAAGATGCTCCTACCCCCAAAAGCAATGAGGAATTTATTGAAGAGACGGTCGCAAAATGTAATCATTTTGAAATAAATATTATTCACCAAATTGAAATAATTCACCACCGATTTCACTTATAACTTTTTGATTTTTTTTTTTAGTATTACAAAAAGCTGGGACGCATATGGAGTTCACGTTTCTCGCCTCCTATATCGTTATGGTGGTGGGATTTTTGATCATGGAAAATGCCGAATGGCAAACATTCGTCAGGCAGTTCTTGAAGGGTAGCAATTTCGGTGATATGGTGGAACTGCTCAAAAAGTTTTTCAATTTCATGAATTTGACAGCGTCGGTGAGTAGCACCTTTTATTCTCATCTTCCAACCAAATTTACTAGTGACTATTCCACTCTTGATCTCGAGAACCAATCAGAATCGACCATTTTCACGGTTTCTTCTGTATTCTAGCGGTATTTTTTGTTTGTGAAATTTTATCGGACTTGCTCTACCAATACAGAAGCCGAATTGACCCACACGTGACCATCAAACCTCGTTTATCAGCGATACAATTTTGACATCGTGTCTGGTCAAGATTGCTTTGGATTCAAATCAGAGATAATAACCTAAGTTCCTACTTTATTTTATTAAAGGCGAGACAATTTTATCCTGGCTGGACGTTTCATGTGTAATTTAAAAAGTTTGCATATTTGTTGACGGTCTGACAGAACAATAATAGAATTCAAATTCCTTTTTGAAGTAATCTTCTTCAATTACTCAAGTTATTGTGACTGACTGATATAATTACTAGCTGATGTAGCGCAACTGTTAGGCCCTCCGCACACGGGTCGATCGGCGACATGGGCGACGCGATTGCAATGACGTCACAATTTCTGCATTCGTACGATTCAAGAGACGGGAGTGTGTGTCATCCGCATATGGGTCGACGTTTTGTGTAGTCGACTCGCGTCTGATCATTTTTTGCTACTTCAAAAAGAAATGTTTCGCTAAAAATGAGCAGTTCCAATGGCGAGGAGGACATATTCATGTTTTTGTGGCACCGGCAGATCAGGAGAAGAAGAAGACAACGAAGTTTATGGGTGCATCCGTACATTGCACGAAATTTTCACACTCGACTTTTTGTTACTGCAATTGAAATGCAAGAGAGTGACACAAAATTTCTGGCATTTTATAGAATGTCGAAGGAATCATATATTGATTTAGTGGAAACTCTTGCTCCAGCCATAAATTATATGGATTCAAATATGAGGGAATGTGTCAGCGCAGAAGAACACATACTAATATAACATTGATGTAAGATTCATATATTTCAAAAAATCAAACAGTTCCTAAAGTTGAGAGTATAAATTGGAAACATAAGATTATATGTTCTAGTTACTGAAAGTAAAGAACTAAGGTAGGTAACACAAATATTCACAATGATTGAAAAATTATTAAACAACTTTCTCCATTGAGACGCACAATTCACTCGATCAAACTGCTTCCTTGCTAATCGCGTGAGACTGAAAACGACGAGATCTTAAATCGTACGTTTCTAGACGACCACTAAACGACCCGTGTGCGGGATCCAAATGCTTTGCTTAGGAAGTCGAGTAGAGGGGAGACAGATTCGAATCGCGTCGCCCATGTCGCCGATCGACCCGTGTGCGGAGGGCCTTAGGGATGTTGCGCGAGTATACGAAGGTCGATGGTTCGAGCCCTCGGCGACGATATTTTTTTTTTATTATTCCATGTCACATAAATTCAATTTATTTTGTTTGAATTGGATAGCAATTGTATACACTCTTTTGAGAGCAATCATCTCCAAGATAATACGAAAAATACTGTTTATCAAAATTGTACATTCCACTTTGTGAATAACTATAAGTAGGTAGTTGATTTCTAAAAAAGTAAATTCTGTATTTCATTACTATCATTATGTTCTTCTCCGCAGTTCGAGTTGGAATATACTTAAATTATGTTTACTATTTCTTACATATATTGTCTCATTCAATCATGAAATAGTCATACGAATACAACTCGTGATACTATTTTTCCTGGAAATATTCGTCGATTGACATACTCCAGCTTGCTGCTCTAATTTCGCTCATGACATTGATCCAAAACTACTCGCCTACGGCTCGTAGTTTTGATGACAATGTCATTCACGAAATTACTAGGCAACAAGCTGTCGTAACAATCACCGAATATTTCCGGCAAAATATTATCACTTGTGGTATTATATATGAAAAAAAACTTCTTGAATCTACATATACAGTGTGTCCCACTTACCATGCTCACCGTGGGTATCTTTTTAACGGTGAGAGATACGAGATCGGGTGAATGACACCAAATGTGGAGTTTATCAAGGGCAACTATAATGTGAAAAAATATTTCGATAAAATCTATTCGTTTTTGTTTTATACGCAAAAAACAGATTTTGATCATTTTCATGTCTCCTCCGTAACTTGTTTATTTATGAAAATATTCAAATAGGAATTTCACATACTCATGACAGTTTTTCAAAGTGATTTCGCAAAAAATATGAAATGTATACCAACTCTTCTAGAATTTGAGATATCAGCACCAACTTCAGTTTTTCAAATGTAGGTCATAGGTCACTATGACTTAGTTACAAATAAGTTTTGTGTTGATAACAACGGAGTTATCGTCATTTATACAAAAACAGAACATTATTTGGAAGCCGCCGTCTTGAATTTATGAATTTTAACAAAAAAATCATGATCTCCGACCTCAAAAACCCCCACTTACCAATTTCGAATGGAATCGGACCAAATCTTGTCCGCCATCTTGGAGCAGCCATTTTTTTTAATTTCAATAAAAATTCCATAACTCCGATCAACTTGAAATTTGGCAGGTGTTCATAATTTCGGTGGCAATACATTTTGGAATTTTTGTTGAAATAAAAAAAATGGCTGCTCCAAGATGGCGGACAAGATTTGGTCCGATTCCATTCAAAATTGGTAAGTGGGGGTTTTTGAGGTCGGAGATCATGATTTTCTTGTTAAAATTTATAAATTCAAGATGGTGGCTTCCAATTAATTTTTTTGTTTTTGTATAAATGACAATAACTCCGTTGTTATCAACACAAAACTATTACTGCGCCATATCATCTGTAAGAGAAAACAAAGTAATTTGTAACTAAGTCATAGTGAGCTATGACCTACATTTGAAAAACAAAAGTTGGTGCTGATATCTCAAATTCTAGAAGAGTTGGTATAAATTTCATATTTTTTTCGAAATCACTTTGAAAAACTGCCATGAGAATGTGAAATTCCTATTTAAAATACTCGCACTGTAATGTAGTGTTACGATCTGGCTATAAATGATTTCAATGTTGAAAATAGTTTCGATTTTCTTTTTAGACTGAAGCATCTAGTGTATGTGCGATAAAAGCCACAGAAAAAGTAATAAAATTCTTGGAAGATTGTGATAAACCTCCACAGCCGGAGTCCCCGGAAAAACCTGTTGCCTTTTACGAGAATATCGGGATGGACTTGAGTTTCAGGTTGACGCCGTGAGAGGGCGCTGGTGTTTCTGCGAAATTTCGGTTTATCGTCGGGGGTAAGCGAGTTGAACGAAAATTCACAATTTGATTGGATTAATTTGATAAAAGTACGCGGTAGTCACGGGCTGAAATGAATAGATCGATTAGTTTGAATGACATTATTCTACAGAGAGAAAAATATATATTGTGAATCAACTTTTGTTCTGAATTCGTTGATATTATTCAAACGTTTTATTTATGAGACAAAAAATCTAGTGTGAAAGAGGTGTTTGAATTCTTCATGTTTTTATATCAATTTTACTTGTACATAATTTTGACTTAGTTAATTTGTATTTTGTAATATTTTCTTATTTATTTGAATCAAATAATTGTTCTGAGGATTGTTTAAAGATGTAAATATATATATGACTACAATTTTTAATTGGAGTTTCAATACTCTTTCAATACATTCCAGAGTTTTTGTTAGCTCTTCAGGAAATCCCACATTTTTGATTTATCAAACTATGAGTTGATTCTAAGAACAGTTGATGAATTTCTATGAATATATCAACAGTTATAGTTCTAATTTTTCGGATCCATATCTGTTCTTTATTTATAACCTTGTATTATTTTTATGTTCCTTGTATTTTTCAACAGATATACAGGGTGTATTTAAATAACACAAAAAAATTCAAGGGGTATTTCCTTGTGACATTCTAGCGAATAAAGTTCACATAAACATGTACCCTAACTTGCTCCGTTTTTGAGATACAGGATGTTGAAGTTGGAAGTATGAATTGTTTTTATTTTTTACCCCCCTGTATAAGCTTTCATGGTGCCAAAATTCAGTATGGTTGGAGACTGAGAAAGCCCTAAAATTTCGAAATGATTCTAATTGTATGGGGTTATTGTGTAATCTCAATGGAAGTCTCGAAAATACGCCTACATTAAAATTTGGAGTCAAATCGAATTTTTATTGTTTCCTCAACTAAGCTAGATACAAAAATCACACAGAGGATGAAAAAGTTGTTATTTCAAAAGTTCAATCTAATAAAAATATGGAACTCCGAAAATCCGGTGGTGTACAATGACATTCACCATGAATATAGATACATTTACCCACTGTGACGCCACTGGAAATATTATTCTGAATCTGATTGCACCAGAAGAAGCTCCATATTACTATTGACGAAACCACAACGTTTCTTCGAAATTGATGAAAAGACAATTGAGAAATGAATAGAAAAAAAGTTTTTCATAGAAATATTCAATACCCTGTATCTCAAAAACGGAGCAAGTTAGGACACCATGTTTATATGAACTTTATTTCCTAAAATTTCACAAGGAATCACCCCTTGAATTTTTTCGGTGTTATTAAAATACACCCTGTATACAGAGTGGACCAATTGTGTGACAAAGCGAGATAGCAACTCTGCTATTAGAGATAGAAGAAACAAATTTCTACAGGAGTTGTAAGTCTCAAAAAAGTGTGACATATCAAACCTATGTTTTTTTAAATGGAACAATCTGTATTTTATTGCATATTTATATTTTTTCTGAAGAGCTGAATCCAACGATCTAGGTCTCTTGGGCTCTGGCAGGAATGATTACCGAGATATACGGTGTGGAAATTCGGGATTTTTTAAATTTTGGGAATTTTTTGTGACCAAACTCTTTATAATTGGTCAAAACGACTTTCAGATCCTTATCTCAACTCTTGATTTTCTATTTACCGGCATTTAATTGGAACAAATACAGGGTGGTGTAGAATTCTGAGTTCTGCACCACTTTGTATCTGTTCCAATTAAATATGAGTAGATAGTAAATCAAAAGTTGAGATAGGGACATGAAAGCCCTTTTGACCAATGATGAATAGTTTCGACACAAAAAATTCCCAAAGTTGAAAAATCCCGAATTTCCACACCGTATATCTCGATAATCAATTCTCGTTAGACCCCAAGTGTGCTAGATCGTTGAGTTCAGCTCTTCAGAGAGAATATAAAAATGCAATAAAATACAGGGTGTTCCGTTCAAAAAGATATAAATTTGATATGTCACACTTTTTAGAGACACACTGTATAATGGAGGATAATTTGAAATATATAAAAATTTTGTTCTTCCATCTCTGATAGCAGAGCTGCAATCTCGCTTTGTCACGCTATTGGTCCACCCTGTATTGCTTTTTGGTTTGCAATTTTTGCAAGATTATAAATGGTATGTACAAAATTTTGGCACATATTCCTGGGGTCAATAGAAGCTGATTTAAAACAACATATCTCAGTCCGAAATTCCTCCGTTTGCGAGATACAGGGTGGTGAAAATAAAAAAATTAAAATCGACAAGTACAGTCAGACGCAAAAGAAATGTCGCACATGACCGGTGATAGCACGCGTCTTAGTCACTGCTGCAATAAGAGCACTAACACCATCCATTCGCGACATTTTCTCTGCATTTGCCTGTACAATCCAAGAAAGTATTTTGGAAATTTCATCCAACGGTGGACACTTTTGGGTAATTTTGCACTTATCATGCAATGGGTTTTTTTTCGAAAATTTTTTTTGGTACTTACGTATTTTTGTCTGAAAAACACGAATTTTATAATGAAAATGTGAACAAACCATTATTTATTAAGATATTTCACTATAAAGTTACAAATTTCACCTTCTTTTCCGCCTGTCTTTTTGGGCGCATTTAGAACAATTTGCCCTTCTTTTTCCATCATTGGTTATATATATCACAATCACACAATGTTGGACACATTTTTTTTTATTATGTGAGTCAACTAGAAATATGATTTTCTTGTGATTTATCCATGTTCAGTGAAAAGAAGGAAGAATATCATTTGAAATAATGGTGTGTGTGATGTCATTCCAAAGCAATCTATTGACATTTGACATCTCCTATTTGGATTACCCATCGATTAAATGGCGGTCATCTGGTATGCTTGCTCACTAAATAGGAAAAACTCGCCATAAAAATAATATTTCCTGTTGAATTTTCTAGCTTAAAATCTGTCATTGAAGTACATCATGAGTATATGAAGTGTCCAATGACAAAATAAAAAGAGCAAGTACCTGTAAATGCATCCAACACAAGGGGGAGAATAAGGCAAAATTTCGAACTTTTTCTTGAAATATCTCGATAAATAGTGGTTTGTTCACATTTTCAATATCAAATTCGTGTTTTTCAGACAAAAATACGTAAGTACCAAAAAAAAAATTCGAAAAAAACCCATCGCATGATAAGTGCAAAATTACCCACATTTGATTGGCTGTTTGTGGCCTCTAAAGCCCAAGTGTCCGTTGCCAACTTCATATCACTGTCATTCTGACGAGAGGATCGCGCCAGTATCACATGAGCTGATGGCTGCTGTTGTAAAGCGTTTTCAGCCGAAACCTTCTATTTTTCCCACAACTGATTCACTAGTAAAAAAAATCATTGCCTTGGTCGTAAGTTGATGATTGAAAAATGGAATATAGTGGCTACATTCGCCAAATAGTCAATTTTAGATGAATGGCCAATATATTTAGAAGAAGAATCAAATCTGTGACAAAGGTCAGGTAAGGAACTAGGAAGAGAAGAAGAAGAAGACAGGTTATGTTTTTGTTTATGTTGTGATTTTCAAAATATCAACATTTTCGTTGAGTCAAAAAAGATCAATCAAGTCAGTAATGAAATTCGATCGAATATGCCGAACATGTCTTCTGGAAAAAACCGATTTGAGACCTTTATTCGAAGCTTGCGTAGCAAACATGTTGATGTCTTGTGCATCAGTTCAGGTGAAAACATGTCTTGACTTGGAAAGTTACTGAAAGGCTCAAAAAACGAATGTTGTAGGTCCTAGAAGGAGATGGATTACCGATTCAAATTTGCACGCAATGTCTACAAAGCGTCAATAGGGCCTACACTTTCAAGCAATTATGTGAAAAGTCAGATATGACTTTGAGGAACTATCTGAGCATCAAGCTCCAATCCACATTGATACCTGCTGATAATATTTTGCAGGATGTCAAGGCTGATCTATTCAGTACCAGCGAGGTACTGCAACAAAGTTCTTTATTCCAGGATATATTTAATGATGCCACTACACATTCCTTGGTTGAAACTTTCACCAATCAAAATGCTAGCACTGGTAAGTGATCATGATGATGCTTCATTCAATTATCATTGTTTGCTTGAAGTTGTGTCTGATTTGGCTGAAACTATGCAAAGTCTACAGACTATTGCTGAACAGTGTTTGCCAGAGTCTTGGGAAAGTGATGGAAATATTATGCCATGCGGTTCAGAGGAGGCAAGTGATAATTTCAATTTGGGGACTATCTACAGATGCCAGTTCTGTCAAAATATTTTCAAAGGTGGCCTTTTGGTTGTGGTTATTTTGTATGGAAAGTTACCATTGATGTTTTTAGATGATTGGTCTCTAGCAGAGCATATCAAAAATCACACAGAACAACCTAAATTCTATGAAAATATGTGTAATAAAGTTTGCAGTTCGTCTGCTGAATTGGAAAAACATATAATTTCACAAAGTTTTGTGGAAATAGGACCCAAGTTGAAAGGAACTAGTAAAGTGGATCACATATGCAATGTGAGCAGTGTTTATTTTTCTTCCTTATATTTTCCATTGCATGATTTTTCCAGGTTTGTGAGAAACATTTTGATGAAGGCAAATACTTGAAAAAGCATCTGAGAGATGTACATTTTATTGATACTGGTCCTGTAGCAGAAACAGAAAAAAAGTATGGATGTAACATATGTGGAAAAAGGTAACATCTTCTAAATCAAAATCTGTTTTTTTTTAAAAAAAACAAGTATATCACAGAACAAAATATATTAACCATTGGCAGTTATTATTTTCCAAGGAATTGCAAAGAACAAAATAAATTAACCATTGTCAGTTATTATTTTCCAAGGAATTTCCCTTTCTTTTCCCCACATTCAGCTTGAATTCATAAAATGAATTTTCACCCAATAAAATCTAAAGAACAAATTTAATGAGCTTCAATTCACCCTCAAATTTCAAAGAATACCAAATAAATCTTTAGGAATTTCAATGAATTTCAATGAAACCCAAGTAATTTCAAAGAATAGATTGAATTACTTGCTCATCAAGCTTCAATTAATTGAGCAATTAAAAAAATTCAAAGGAATTCTCATATTAGTCAGGGTCACATTGTATAGCAAGTCAAGAATGAATTGAAACAAATTTTGAATGTATTAAAGAAATGCCATTGAATCATACAAAAACCTACTTCTATTAAGGAAAATGAATGTTGAAATGAATCCACTAGGATAATCATTAGATCACATTAATTTAATAAAATTCACCATATTCCATTGAGTTCTCAAATTTTCCTTGAATTTACCATGGGATTTGAAGGAGTTCCAGATAATTCATAAGAATAACAAATAGGGAAGAATAGGTGAGTGGATTATTTTTTTTATTTCTTAAACAGAATCGTCACTCAATACCTTTCAATTTCATATTTTTCAAGAATTTTCCGGTCGATTTTTACGTGCTAAAATCATCAATAATGCCATGGTAATTTTTAAATGGCTAGAAATTTACCGGGAGAAAACACTGACGGTGATATACGATTTGGAACTTCAGAAATATTCCTTATTCAATAATTCATAGATTCTCAATTGAGTATTATTGATAATATTCCTAATCAGCAATGAAAAATCCAATTGTCTCAAGTTGTTCTCTTATGATTTCTGTGGCTTATTGCTTATAATAAATTTGTGTATATACAGGGTGTTTCATAATTGAATGCTGATCCTTTAGGGCGATAATCCTTGGATGATTTCAAAGAGAAAAGTTTATATCAACATATGTCCTAAACCTCTTAGTTATTGAGCTACAGGGTGATGAAATTTCAAGAAAAAAATGAGTTTTTCATCATAATTTTTTATCACTCTTAGATATTATGATATTTTGTATACACCTTTTCATTATTAAGGAGCATCTTTTAACGTGGGAGATATTTAAAAATTCTCCCCAGTGGCGTCCGTACGGGGTTTGAACTGACAATTTTTGAAGAAAAAAATAGTACGCCACTGATTTTTCTGAGAACCAGATTTTTTTTTCAATTCTTATTCATTTTGGAGCAAATTTGGTTCCTAGACTTACTTTCATACAACGTACCGTTTTCGCGTAGAAAAATAAAAACCAAAGAATTTTGTTCCTTCAGTTCTTGGATATTATTGTTTTTGGTAATTCAGTAGACACCCACTATAAGTGGAAACACATTTCGTTTTGGGACGAAAATCAAAATTTCACTTTTACCAGTGATGTCCTCGTAAACCTGATAGGTATTGAATGTTTAGTTTGAAAAAACGCTGTACGCTTCTGATTTCAACACCCTGTAGCTCAAAAACTAAGAGGTTCAGGACATATGTTGAAATGAACTTCTCTCCTTAAAATCATCCAAGGATCATCGCCCTTTTAGGATCAGCATTCAGTTATGAAACACCCTGTATAATAATCATATTAATTCACACTAGAGGACATTTCGAATCGGTGAACGTGACAACCCCGCGCACGACTTGTGGGCGTGGTCTTGTCAGTTCTCAGCATTCAGCACAATGTTGCCAAGTCTCCAACCTCCACATGACATTTTGTTATGGAGTAATAAAAATATTTGGACATGCTGGTTGCTCAAAAAAGTCAAGAGTGAACTTGTTTCGTGAGTGGGAATGGAAGATTAATCTGACCTATAACGAAGTAGCATAAAAGCTGGCGTCACCATTTATTCGACGTATCGCCAAATAGTGGCCATTTGGCTGAAAATTAGTGGAGAGGTAGCTTAGAACCAGGAGAAGGTTATAGGATACTTTTTATCCCGGTACCATTAGGAAATTCAAGATGGCGGATCTCATATATCGGACGAGTTTTGTAATTATGGTCCGATTCTTATCTAAATTGGTATCTGGGGGTTTTCGGGGTTGGAGATTATGATCCTTTCGTCAGAATTTGAAAATTCGGGCGGAATTTGAAAATTCAAGATGGCGGAACCAATATGGCGGACGAGTTTTGTAATTATGATCCGTTTCCTTTCAAAGTTGGTACCTAGGGATTTTCGTAATCGGGATCATGATTCCTTCGTCAAAATCAAGAAATTTAAGATGGCGGATCCAAAATTGTAATAAGGATCCGATTTTATTCAAATTTTGTATCTGGTGGTTCTCGCGGTCGGAGATTATGATTCTTTCGTCAAAATTAGTAAATTCAAGATAGCGGACCCACTATAGCGGACGAGTATTGTAATTATGATCCAACTATCTTGTTAAATTGTTATCTGGGTGTTTTCGGGGTCGGAGATCATGATTCTTTTGTCAAATTTGGAAAGGGCGGGATTTGGAAATTCAGACGGTGGAACCAATATACCGGACGAGTTTCTGTAATTATATAGCGATTCTATTCAAAATTTGTAAGTGTGCGTTTTCGGGATCAAAAATTACGATTCCTTCGTCAAAATTGGGGAATTCAAGATGGTAGATCCAATATTGCGGACGAGTTTTGTAATTATGTTCCGATTTTATTAAAAATTTTCATCTGGGGTTTTAGGAGTCGGATATTATGATTCTTTCGTCAAAATTGGAAAATTCAAGTGAACTAAAAAGAAGTTGAAATAAATGGTAGTTTGAAAAACTAAAGAAACACGCTTCTAGAGATAGCGAAACTAAAAAAGAAGTAGAAAACAAAATAATAATAGTGTCTTGTAGAATATTGAACTGAAAAAAATATGTTATAGAAATAATGTATATAGCAAAACAACGTTTGCAAGGTCTGCTAGTTCATTATAAGTCTACTCGGCCATTCCGAGACATATGTTCCATATAAACACTCAGTGTGTGTCAAATAAAATAGAACAAATAGCGCTTTTTCTCGATGAATATAAGTTTGATGTATTTTGTTTAACCGAGCATTGGCAGAAAGAATCTAATTTAACAACAATTAATATTCCTGGATATAGACTTGTGAATCATTTTTGTAGAAAACAATACAAAATGGGAGGTGTAGCAATCTATCTAAGACAAGGAAATGTATCATTTAGACCCCTCAATTTGAACGCATTCAATGTGGAAATTCATTCTGAATTCTGTGGAGTGCTGATTCAGGAATTGAAAACATATGTGTTCACTTTATACAGATCTCCTTCCGGGGAATTCAAGATATTTATTGATAACTTAGAACGCCTATTGGAACACTTTTTGAAAATGGACGAAACAGTCATAATTTTGGGAGATTTCAACATTCATTTTGAACTTATGAATGATAGTATGTTGAATGAACTATTATGTTTGTTTAATTCTTTTGGCCTTTCGGTAACTATTCATGACCACACTAGAGTAACTGCAGAAAACTCTAGCTGTATTGATAACATAATAACGAACTGTGACACCGACTTGATCAAAACTGGTGTTTTGGAACCATGTTTATCCGATCATTTTGGGCAATATGCAATCATAAACAGAAAACTCAATTCGTCTGAAAATATTTCTTCATGCGAAAGAGCTATCACAACCTCTGGGTTACAGAAATTGAAAAATGCACTGTGTGATGTAAACTGGGAGATTTTTACAAATAATGAACTGGACGCCAATTATCTTGCAAATTTTATGGTCAACACTTACCAATATTTGATAGAAAAAATATTTCCATTGCGAAAAAAGTCTTCACACAAAAAGCAGCTGATAAATTGGTTCAGTGACGAGCTGAAGGCTCAAAGATCGGTTTTGTCAAGTGTCAAACTGATTTCTGATGTTAGTAAGAATCCTGAGGATATAAGAGTATATAAGTCTTTGAAAAAGGAGTATGAAAAAAACATAAAAACTACTAAGAAATCTGCATATGAAGAGTACATTCGCTCTGCTGATAACAAGGCTAAAGCAAGCTGGCAAATTATCAATTTTGAAAGAAACAAGACTAAATCTATTCCCCTCATTAATGAAAACATCACGTCGAACGATTTCAATGATCATTTTGTTCAAGTGGCCGAATCTATCATAAAATCTCTACCTGGGATTCCGGAAAATGAATTACTAAATTTCTCAAAGATTCTTCCAGCACCTTCTTCTTCTTTTTTTCTACTCCCAGTTACTCAACATGAAGTTATGGATACCATAAAATCATTAAAAAACTCTTCATGTGTTGATGTTCATGACCTAAATAGTAGAATCATCAAAGAAACATCAGAAATAATTTTGAAACCTTTGACCGAATTGATCAATCTAATCTTCAGTACAGGAACTTTCCCAGATATTTTCAAATTCTCGAAAGTCATTCCCTTATTCAAAAAAGGAGATGTATCACAAATTGAAAATTATCGTCCGATATCCATCATTTGTATTTTTTCCAAAATTGTCGAAAAAATTTTGAAACAAAGGTTAACAAAATATTTTGAATTGAACAATTATTTTTGTGATTCGCAATTTGGTTTTAGGGCTGGTCGTTCAACCACAGCGGCAGTAATGGATCTAGTGAGTGGCATAGTCGAGGGCCTCGAGCAGCGAAATCATATAGCTATTACGTTGTGTGACCTGTCAAAGGCCTTCGACTGTGTCGCTCATGATATTCTACTGAAAAAGCTACATTTTTATGGCATCAGAGGAATTGCACTTTCCCTTTTTGATTCTTATCTGAGAAATAGATTTCAGACTGTTCATTTCAATAATGAAACATCCGATTATAAAGAAATGAATCATGGTGTGCCCCAAGGCTCTGTCTTGGGGCCACTTCTATTCATTATTTATGTCAATGAGCTAAGCAGTTTCATGACCCCCTTCAAATGTGTCCTTTTTGCTGACGACACGTCATTTATTTGTTCGAGTCCAGACTATCATAGTTTATTAGAAAGGTCTAATGAAATTGAAGGAAAGGTTGAGACATGGTTCAGAGCTCACAATCTAAAACTTAATAATGACAAGTCTCAGAGGCTCTTCTTTCGCACTCGTCAGCATGGTGAAGAGAAACGAGAGGTAAAATTACTCGGTGTCACCTTGGATCAGGGATTGACTTGGAATTCCCATATAGAACATTTGAAGCATAAATTGTCAAGTTCATTGTTTCTTTTACGTCAGCTCAGACATGTTTCAAATTTTGAAACTTTAAGCACAGTGTATTACTCACTTTTCCAGTCTCATATGGGCTACGCAATTATACTGTGGGGTAATTCTTCAGCTGCAAGTGCTATTTTCATTCTTCAAAAAAAAGCGATAAGAATATTGGGTAATGTAGGATATAGAGATACCTGTAGACCGTTATTCACCAAATTCAAAATTATGACTCTTCCGTCTTTATATATTTACAATTCACTTCTTGAAATCCATATAAAATATCGTCTAATCTCACTACACAGGCTGATGTCCACCATCATAACACTAGGAATTCTGATAATATCAGAATCCCTAGATATAGGCTCTCTGTTTCACAAAAAAATTCTTTAGATTTCAATCTTTATAATGCACTGCCACATCGAGTTAAAATCTTAAATATGAATGAGTTCAAACGAACAATCAAATCGTATCTGTCAAATAATAGTTTTTATTCTATCGATGAATACGTTGAAAATATTTCAGGTGCTACCTTTTTCCTTTAAGAACATACTTACCGATTGTTCATTAGAATTAGTTTACGAATATTTATTATGTATTAACCTTTGTTTGTTTGTTCTTGTGTAATGGTGATGTTTTATTATTTTCAAACTTTCATTTTATTGTTTTCAAAATTTTATTCTGAGACACAAATGACCTGCTATGAATATGCATATGTATATGATATAGTCAAATAAACTATCTATCTATCTATCTATCTATCTGCCCAGCGAGCACAAAAACATCTCAGAGATGTTAAAAGTACGAGATTTCGAGACATTGAACCTCCACTGCGATGTTCTGTTCACACATGAATAGAACTATTATAGAACAGCCAATGTCCGCCGCAGGCGGCAATTATCGAGATGTCCTTGATATGTCACAAAGTTACTTTCTCCCTAGTTCTTTTCAAAGCCTTTTCATGGACACAACAGAACATTTTCAACGCGTCTTGCGCACATTAAATCGCTGTAAAAAAAAAAACATTTCCGAGGTACTTTTCTGAAGCCTTTTGACGAAATGAACTTTTGCATTAGGATTCCATTTCCCTTGAATGGAAAAATGCATTAAAAATAAATTGATTGAACATAAAAATATTTTCTTGATATGAAATTACCTTCTTAATCGGTTTCTGAGTAGTGCTTACTACACACAGACATATAATTGGAAATAGGTTTCCCAGTTTTTGGAATGTTCTCCACAATGCATAATTTTGCAACTGCGGAGGAGCTGTGTATTGATGAATTCGTACTTTTATATATTGATTACACTGAGGCACCGAACAACACATCTAGCATCTGATGGTCATTATTACAAACTAAATAAGTCTTCTAACACAATAAACTTCACCAAATTCCTTTCTGTTCGTTAGCAGCGTGATGTAAGCGTGACACGCTGCAAACGCGAATGCCAATTGCGAACAAGAAGAACAAAATGGAAAACAAATCAGAATTCGTCGTATTGTGACGTAAGCATGAGACGTTGTGGTGGGGCAAACAAAGAAAGGGCACAAAAGACCAAAAACAATACTTTCAATATCCTTCTAAGACCTCTTTGGTCAGTGCATATTACGTCTCAAAATAACATCTTCATGCCAACATTTTCAAAACATCCCAGGGATGTTTGTGCTCGCTGGGTGGTATATTATAGAATTAATTTCCAGGTATAGGCAGAACAAACTCCTAGTGATTCATATGAGGAATCATACTGGGGAAAGGCCTCTCAGGTGTGAGATATGCGGAAGAAGTTTCGCATTGCCTTCATCTTTGCATAAACATAGAAATATACATAATGCCGAAAAAAAGTTCGAATGCACCATATGTAATAAGAAATTCAATCAGTCATCTAATTTGAATGAACACCTTCGTACTCATACAGGTATTGAAAGATTTTTTTTCTTCTTCTTTTTTTCGGAAAGGTAGAAATATTGTTTGCTTGATCAACATGATTTTGTTTTTCTGAATACAGTGTGTTCAAGTTCGACTAAAAAGATCTCATATATGGAATTATAAAGCATATTTTAATCGAACTTTGATTACCCTTATTCTGCATGTCACTATCATCTTCTCTTTGGATTGAGTACACGAATCTGAACAACCCTGTAAAGTGTAAAAACTTGACAAACTAATTACTGATACAATGAACTAAAGTAACCTTGGCTTGCCTAACTCTTATAAATCGAATTAACATTTTTTTTTTATTATAATTCATGCGGGCCATGGATTTCCATCGAGTAAAGTTTTATAAATTTCTCCATGGAAAGGAACCAAACAAAAATATTTCACGGTCACTGCCACTTGAAATGAATTCGAAAAATTCAATGAAAATGCCCATCCTGAATTCAAATAAAACATGTGGAAAACTCAGACATTCAACTGAAGGCCGATATCTTTTTCACCTGAATTTTAATTTTCAGGGCAAAAGTCCCATACGTGCAGTGTGTGTGGAAATAGTTTTGCTACAAACACAAATTTGGAAGTGCACATGAGGATCCATACCGGCATTAGACCGTTCAGTTGCGATTTTTGTGAAATGTCATTCAATAGTAAGTCATTTGTCAAAAACATAAATATTATACGGATGAACCCAAAGACGAACAATAGGCAAGAACACAAATTTCTAGAAAAAATACTATGACGTCATCACCACGATGAGAAAAGTACACAGATTTCGTTAAAAATTTTCATTCTTCCAGGATCTCCCAAAATAAATTCCCAAAGAGATGCTCACGTAATTAGAACATGACGGAAATCTCATCAGCGGTACTGACGTCACAAGTACTATAAATTCAATCAGAGATAAATACACAGTCCCAGCAATTTGATGTCCTAATTCCTTTGCTACTACTCTGATAGCATAGCACCCTAGACAATTTTTTCAGATAACTGGGCAATGTGTTCATTGAAATTCAATCTATTGTCAATGATCAAGCCTAGAAATTTTGTAGAGTTCTTCTTTTATACCTCACTTTTTCAAGAGCTACATTACCAGAAGCAAACCTGAAACTGAGGATGCTTGTTTTGCTAACATTGAAGCACAATGAATTACAGTCACACCATCATTTTATCTTCGTAAGGTCATTTTGAATCACATTCATTAGTTCTCTGTTTCATCTTTGCCACTCCATAAGAAGGTGCGGTATCATCAGCAAATACTGTAAACTTTGCTCGCACCTGTATTTCAGTCAAGTCATTAATAAAAATCAAAAATAGAAGAGGGCCCAGAACTGACCCTTGAGGAACTCCGGTACGGATTTCTAAGTACTGAAGTCTTACTAATTGTTTCCTATCAGAAAGGTATGACTCAAACCAATCTAGTGCAACACCCCTGACACCATAGCGCTCTAGTTCAGTCTAGAGTTCCTAAATGTACTTGACACTGCAGTTTCTGAGACAAGAAGTGATAATCAAACATAACCACAAACGATTTTGAAGCAAATCATATGTTTTGCCAGACAAGGACAAAAATATGTTTTTCGCTTCGAAAAAGGATCCTCGCATCTTCCTTCCTCCACAAGTCCTGGGAAGAGTACATCCATATATCTTTCTCTGTCTTTGATTTTTGTATGAGAGTGCATAGCGTCTCCTCGAGTGGGTAAAAGGGTACGATAAATTGATTAGAAAATTATTTCTTCTAGAAATATTGAATGATAAGGCTGAAGGACCTCAATGGAGGTCGATATCAAATTCAGAATGGGGTAAAAACTGATCAATTTCAACCAATGAAACATACTTTTATTTCGTATGGAACAATTTCACTTGTACAAGAGTGGTAGGTATTAGGTAATAAGTTTCCTATTAATGAATGAACAAATGATATGGCAACAATAACAGCTGATTTCAGTTAGGATGAATAATAAAGGTTCTCCAAGACATACGGAAGTAGGTATAAATGGACTTCAGCGCTCGACTGACTATAGATCGCCGTTCACATTGCTAAAGGGGATTGTTGGTTTGAACCCGGCCATCGGATGATCATTCTCAAGTATTATTCTTTCAAAATATGTTCAAAATGAATTTTATTATCTGTAAGTTCTTCTTTTCTTGTTGGTTCTGAATTGGAATAAGGTTCGCTCAGTTTATAAATTGTGAGTTCGGCTCTTTCTCTCAATACGATCCTATTCTTCAATATTGTTAGCATCTAGCAACAAGATGCGCTACTGCTCAGTGGAATGTGCTTAGATCAGAGACTATGACAGACGTGTTTGAAGACTGGCTCATACAGTGTTCGGCAGGCAGCCGAGTTAAGAGCAAGTGTAACTTTGTCCATGTCATTTGTGCTCGTGTTTATTGAATTATGACCATTCTTCCGTTCTGAAGTGTACCTGATGAAAATGCGTTGAAACATGTTCTATATCCTACAATGCACAAATTTGCATCTTTCTCCTAATTCTCTCAATTTATCAAACCTTTGAAATTTATGTCATGTACGTCCGGGTACTGTCAGTTCCCGCTTTTTCCATCAATTTATTTGTGGTTATGTCTGATTGTCAGTGCTTGTCATAGTGTCCGTACTCGTAACATACAAAAACGTCAAAACAGCAGTGTCAAGTACATTTAGGAACTGTAGTTTAGTCAACAGCGTTTTGTGATTAACGCAATTAAACGCATTGGAAAAGTCGCAGAACACTGCTGCTGCAACCTCACCATTGTTTAAATTAGTGTATAAATTTTCTGGAAATGAAAATATAGCATCATCAGTATTTTTGCCATTTTGAAATCGGAATTATTGATCTTTAGGCAATATTTCAATTGGGTACCTAACAGCTGAGTCAATGGAGAATCATTTTCAGTTGAACTTAAAAAAAAGAGTCTTTTTGAGTGTGAGTCTTATTTTACTGTCTTCTTTATTTTATTTTGTCAAATATATTTATGTATTCACTATGTTCCCTGCTATAAACAAATGTTGTTTCTTGGGAATAATAAAGTTGATTGATTGACCTACACTCATTTGTGTTCTTGCCTATTGCAATTATTTGTAGAAATAACGGTCGCGTGGTTGATAAAAACTTACCCGATTTTTCCTGGAAAATGTCAATTTCAGCTTCCGGTCAGTTGAAGAAGCACCGGATGATCCATACTGGAGAAAAACCGTATCCGTGCTGGCAATGCGGAAGATCTTTTCGCAGAAAAGAAACGAGAGACACACACGTTCGTTATCACACCGGCGAAAGGCCGTATTCTTGTGACGTTTGTTCCAAAAAATATGTGGCCGCCAGTCATTTGAGGGTAAATAATGTACAGGGTGTATCTAAATAATGCCGGAAAAAAACGAGGGGTCATTCCTCGTCATATTCTAGCGAATAATAGTAGATTGTTTTATTAGGATCAAAAGTGACACTTTGTTTGACAAGCGAATTCTGCATTTGCGAGGCGGAGCGTTTAGCGAAGCCGAGCGAAAGCAAAATTTGCGAGTCGAACAAAGTCACTTTTGATCCGAATGAAACATGCTATTTTTTCTGCAACCGAAACAATTAACTCAAATGAACATGTGAAGTAACCACCAATGCCGTGCCATATGCATGCAATGCAACAAATATTGACAAATAATCCGTGTGGTGAGAATATTCTGCCTGCATTAACAGCAGGTTAGGTTTTCAAGGATGTTCGAATTGTAGTTTCAATATAAATACAACCACAGAGTGACATATTTGTGTATGAACCAGGTGCTCTAATGGCAAATACCGCGCCAGTACCAGCTATTGGAACAAGACGTGGAAAATGTTAGGTTAGTGAGCATATCAACAATGATAATAGTGATTATTTATTCCTGTCCATACTTCACTGTGTTTGACTTGATGATCAAATGAAGCTAAACAACATCGTTGTTTGTGACAAAAAACCGATTGCTTGCCGTGATTATTCAAAAACAAGTTATCCATCCCGAGAATAACGAATGAAATACAGATCAAGCAAGTATTTGAATCTTGAAGGCTTCCCTGTTCAAAACACAAATACTTAACTGAGATGTTTATAATTCCAATACCAAACTATTATAATAAGGTGTATTTATATCTCCAGCATAGGTATGAAATGCCAAATCTGCTGAAATCGGAAACAAATCAGGTATGCGTCTCAACCCAAATAACCAACCGTCACAATGTTGTTTGTTCTTGATGACTTCCAGTACATCATTTTTAGTTCCTAGGAGCTAAAGTTCAACTTTAGCTCCTAGGAACTAAAACTCAACTTTAGCTCCTAGGAACTAAATATGTTGCCTAGCAACATACCTATTTTTGTGTCAGTAATAGAAACGTCAATTTAAGAGCTAATTTTGGTATCAAAATGGACGACTTTTGTGTCGGTTGCAGAAAAAGTTTATTTATTTATATGTGTCCTTACTTGCTCCGTTTTTTAGATACAGGATGTTGAAGTTGGAAGTATTAATTGTTTTTATTTATAGCCCCCCTGTATAAACTTTCATGGTGCCAAAATTCAGTATGGTTGGAGACTGAGAAAGCCCCGAAATTTCAAATTGATTCTAATTGGAGTTATTGAGTAATCTCAATAGAAGTCTTGAGAACACGCCTACATTAAAATTTGGAGTCGAATCGAATTTTTCTTGTTTCCTCAAAAACTAAGCTAGATACAAAAATCACACAAAGGATAAAAAAGTTATTTAAATAAATATCAAAGGAATCACCCCTTGAATTATTTCGGTGTTGTTTAGATACAATCTGTATGACATATGTTTCAACTGTGTAAATAGGCTTTTGCAACTATCGAAAGGAAAATGAAGTTTTTTATTATTATTATTACTATTAACACGTCAAGGTCAATAAAAGCGCAACGACCGGTATATTTGATTTTTTACTGTAAAAACCTATTCATCTCTCAAGAACAATAGCAATACATCATGGCTGCATTAAGGAATATCATTGTTAGAATCAACGTTACCATGGTAACTCATTCAAAATTTTCAATTAGACTTTTACATTCCCTGTCAATTAATCAACAGATAACTTATTTTGGATCCGATCAAATTATTTTGCATCTCAGGAATGAACTGTAATACTATACAGTGTGTCCCACTTACCATGCTCACTATGGGTATTTTTTTAACGGTGAGAGATACGAGGTCGGTTAAATGACACCAAAAGTGGAGTTTGTCAAGGCCAACTATAATGTGAGAAAATATTTTGATAAAATCTATTCGTTTTTGTTTTATACGCAAAAAACAGATTTTGATCATTTTCATGTCTCCTCCGTAACTTCTTTATTTATGAAAATATTCAAATAGGAATTTCACATTCTCATGGCAGTTTTTCAGAGTGATTTCGGAAAAAATATGAAATTCATTCCAACTCTTCTAGAATTTGAGATATCAGAACCAACTTTAGTTTTTCAAATGTTGGTCATAGCTCACTATGACTTAGTTGAAAATAACTTTTTTTTTCTTACAGATGATATGTCGCAGTAATAGTTTTGTGTTGATAACAACGGAGTTATCGTCATTTATAAAAAAACAAAAATTATTTGGAAGCCGCCATGTCGAATTTATGAATTTTAACAAAACAATCATGATCTCCGACCTCAAAAACCTCCACTTACCAATTTTGAATGGAATCGGACCAAATCTCGTCCGCCATCTTGGAGCAGCCATTTTTTTCAATTCCAACAAAAATTCCATAATGTATTGTCACCGAAATTATGAACACCTGCCAAATTTCAAGTTAATCGTAGTTATGGAATTTTTGTTGAAATAAAAAAAATGGCTGCTCCAAGATGGCGGACAAGATTTGGTCCGATTCCATTCAAAATTGGTAAGTGGAGGTTTTTGAGGTCGGAGATCATGATTTTTTTTTGTGGAAATTTATAAATTCGAGATGACGGCTTCCAAATGATTTTTTGTTTTTGTATAAATTACGATAACTCCGTTGTTATCAACACAAAACTATTACTGCGACATATCATCTGTAAGAAAAAAATAAGTTATTTGTATCTAAGTCATAGTGAGCTATGACCTACATTTGAAAAACTATAGTTGGTGCTGATATCTCAAATTCTAGAAGAGTTGGTATAAATTTCATATTTTTTTCGAAATCACTTCGAAAAACTGCCATGAGAATGTGAAATTCCTATTTGAATATTTTCATAAATGAAGAAGTTACGGAGGAGACATGAAAATGATCTAAATCTGTTTTTTGCGTATAAAACAAAAACGAATAGATTTTATCAAAATATTTTTTCACATTATAGTTGGCCTTGACAAACTCCACATTTGGTGTCATTTAACCGACTTCGTATCTCTCACCGTTAAAAAGATACCCATGGTGAGCATGGTAAGTGGGACACACTGTATAATGAACCATCACAACTAAAACATAATGTCCTGAATAATACAGGAATGCTATTTACGAGTTACCTATACGCTGGGCGATAAAATTGTCCGCGGGCGGTAAAGTCCCACTTTACGCCTCTCTAAATTCGACTGGAAGTTGAGGACTAAAAATGACGCTGAATATTTATTTTCGCTGGTCCGAATTAGTTTGATTTTTTTGGGATATTTACAAGAATATAGTCTCCCCATACAGGGTGCCTGTAAATCGAGATTAAGCATGGAGATCTGGTTATATCTTGAGAGATAAGATGTTGATAAGATACTTGAATTGAAATATCGGTTTGTTGTTGGCCCTTGGGAATTTGAAAAAAAAAACTCAGTCAATCTAGATACTATGCGAATCTTTTCATGATTGAATCATTTCTGTGAATTGAATATTGGAATTTTGGTAGCTGTTTGAAAAAGGACAATTCTGGATGGCGTCAATTAATTTTGATATGCCATATTTCTGCAATTAATGATCGTAAATCAGTGAAATTTGATTCATCTTCTGGAAAATTCTTTTCTGTACATATTTGACCTCTTGATATTTTTTGCTAACTGTGGCCGTTTTCCCGAGGTACATCAATGAAATGGGAGAGACAATTTCCACTGCGTTGATTTTGTCCCTACTAGTGTGACGTCACGAAAGCGATGCTCCGGCCCGGTGAGATAGAGTAGGCCCTGCTTAAGCTCGAATTACGGGCACCCTGTATATTATGTTCGCTCCGTTTCCTGAAAACATCGTTTTTTTTGTCTGCAGGATCACATGAAAACGCACAACAACAACAGGAAGTATGAGTGCATCATTTGCCTGAAAACGTTCTACGATTCCAAGGTACTAAAAGTTCACATATTGTCGCATACAGGGCAAAAACCCTATTCCTGTCGCTTTTGCGGCAAACAATTTTCTCAGAGCGGTGCCGTTTTCACGCACACGAAAAACTGTCACAGCCAACAAGAAAATACAACGTGAATTTCCGTCTTTTAATTTCATCCCAGTGAAATTTCGATTTCGGTCGAAATATCATTTTTTGCCCAATTTCCTATCCACAAAATACACTATAGGAACCTGAATGATGATTACACAGCAAAAAAATTGTTCTTATCCATCATTTTTAGTTCCTAGGAGCTAAAGTTCAACTTTAGCTCCTAGGAACTGAAGTTCAACTTCAGCTCCTAGGAACTGAAGTTCAACTTTAGCTCCTAGGAACTAGATGTGTTGCCTAGCAACATACCTATTTTTGTGTCAGTAATAGAAACGTCAATTCAAGAGCTGATTTTGGTATTAAAATGGACGACTTTTGTGTCGGTTGCAGAAAAAATGATTGTTGTACTCTCAAAACAGAAGGTAGTTTGAGTTTGTGCCAGCCACAAATCGAAACTTCTCTAAACAAAATAGTTTTTTCAGTTTAACTTTTCTCAATAGGCAAAAAAACGAATTTTTCTCTTTGGTTTTTATATTGTTGTGGACAAGTGAAGTACAAATATAAATTATAATACTTTTAAACCTAAAAATATATAGTAAACAAAAACCTAAATACATTTATGTGTAGTTTGAAACTTAACATCCGTTTCTCAGCTGATATATTCACAAAACGTACATAACAATTTCGAGTTTAACGTCGAAATACATACAGGGTGGAACCAAATATACTCATAACAGACCTCGATTTTATTATTCTCGAGAAGATGTGAATCGAATCGACGTTCAGAACCATTCATGACGAGCAGATTTTTTTCAAAACGGCCCATTTTATAAGTATAGTTAGCACTATACAGAGGATTTATGATTTGAAATCGATTATGTCGGTGAAACATTGCTCCTTTGCATTCTCTGTTGCTGGTCTCTTTTGCACTCGTCTGCTATTTGCTCCAATTGTTCTTTCAATTTCAATAATTCGATTATGCGTTGATAAACTGGATCCTACAATTATTATTATTATTTTTATTCGAGAATCGAAAATTATCACTACACTGAGAGAAAAAATTGTGCCGAAATATCGTACCAACAGATTTACCGATCATCTACTATTTTCAAACAGAGTTGAAAATGAGCGTTGTTTTTCTCAAATTCGCTTGAGATCTATGACTTGGAAGTCAAACGTTACACTGAGAAAAAAGTTTTAGACTGATATAGCTTATCTACAAATCGATCAATTATGCTCGGATTTGTTTCATTTACACTAATTTTACTCATTAAATAACCCTATTGAACCCAACATAAATGAAATATTAAAAATAAATATGATTTTTTTGTTTTTGCATACAGGGTGATTCATTGGGAAATGCGCTTACAGTGGGGTTAGATGGAGGACATCGATGTGCTTCTGATAATCTGTATTTCATGGGTCTATCATTCTTTATAACCGAGATACAAGGTGATATATTGATTTCCCCCATTTTTTCCATTAATCATAACTTATGGACCACCCTTTACAATTTCTTGATATTTGTTTTGTATGTTCTTTGTCTACAGTGGTGACGATTGACATTATAACGTCGTGTCGAGTCGAAACAACTGATATACAGGATCAGTAATAATAATAATTTTCCCAAATACGGACTTCTCGTTTACAGTAAGGTTATATGGAGGCCATCGAGGTGCTTCTGAATAATCTGTATTTCATGGGTCTATCATTCTTTATAACCGAGATACAGGGTGATATATTGATTTCCCCCATTTTTTCATTCAATCATAACTTATGGACCACCCTATACAATTTTTTGATATTTGTTTTGTACGTTCTTTGTCCACAGTGGTGACGGTTGACATAATAAAATTGAGTTTAATTCCAAGGCCGGCCTTGAAAAAATTAATGAGTAGGTTTCGAGTCGAAACAACACCCTGTATATTAATATTTCAAAATCTCATTTAAAAATTTGGAAAGAGCAGAAAAAAATTAGTGAGACTGAATGTATTTTGTGTTTCCGCTTGTTAATTTGAATCAAATCTAGAGGTTTCAATAACGAGGTGGCACAAAATTGAAAAGAAAATAATTTGTTGTCCTCAAATGACACTTTTCCATTTTTAATCCATAAAATCAACTATTCCTCATTCTCCTGATTTTTGGATCCCGACCTATTTGAATAACTGAACGAGAAGTCCGTATTTGGGAAAATTATTATTATTACTGATCCTGTATATCAGTTGTTTCTACTCGACACCTACTTATTAATTTTTCCAAAGCCGGCCCTGAATTGAGTTTTTTTTTATAATGTCAATTGTCACCACTGTAGGCAAAGAACATACAAACCAAATAACAAAAAAATGTATAGGGTGGTTCATAAGTTATGATTATATGTACATAAATATTCATAATTTCAGATTGCAAAGTTCTAGGATAACCCGATCCAGTGAAAATAAAATTATTCAAATTCCTCTATATAAAAAGAGCCATACACAACGTTTTGTTTTCTACTTTGGACCAAAACTGTATAACCTTCTGCCTGAATGTTTAAAAAACACGAATGAAATAAAACATTTCAAAACTGCTCTCAAACAATTTATGCTTCACAATGCATCTGTATTCAAAATTTTCTGAAAAAAAAATGCCATCTCAATCTTTCACTCATCTTCTCCTCTTTCCCTTTCCAATAATCATAAGTATAGAAAAGCACTGTTCTTGTTCATAGAATAAAACATTTGTTATGTATTTTAACATGATAACCCTCCCATGCTTCATGAGGGAGAAATGCAAAACAGGCAGCCTGTTGCCTAGGCGTTTTTCGCTCATGTTCACAGGAGAAAAAAAAATCTACGAAAAAAAAAAAAATTGTTATACTGTATCATCAAATCTTTGAATAAATCTTGAATTGAAAAAATGGGGAAAATCGATAAATCACCCTGTATCTTGGTAATAAAGAATGATAGACCCATGAAATATAGATTATTCAGAAGTACCTCGGTGCCTTCCATCTGCCCTTACTGTATGCGCATTTCCCAATCAATCACCCTGTATGGATACGGCAAATTATACCGAGAATTGGAACAAAAGTTTCTACATTTAGTATTCAAAACATAATGAATAAATTAGTTTTCCATGAATTCGCACCATTTCTATATTATAATCATTACACTGAGAAAAAATTTGTATGTGATAATCACCTGAGTTCTCATGCTGGGATTCCATCTGCAATAATAAGCTTTCCACAATTTTATATGCCGGATACTCGCGATCGGCACCAAAACTCTCTGTTGTAAAGTATTCGCCCAGTATAAGGGATTTTTGTACAAATCCAAGTTGCTGTTAGTATAAGACCACAAGGAAACGGTTTGCTCCTTTAGTTCTAAAAAATGACAAAGAATTTTTCGCATATTTTTTTCTGTTTCCAAGAGGAATTACTAACTTTCTTGGACTCTCTCCCTTTCGCTATTACACAAGAACGTTCCGAAACGGCAGGAATACAAGTGATCGAGGATGGTGATCAGGAAATAATCATTAAACTCGAACGCATTGGGGAATTGCTGTGTTATTTGCCAAACGCAATCGATAAACTGTAGGAAAATTGGGGAACGATCTGCATCTGAATGATGATCATCACCATGGCCAATCCTCTAAAAATTCAAATTAAACAAACGGTAAAGACTGAGTTGTCGATGGGCTAGTGGACTAGTAGATAATGGGCTTATATCACAATAGTATATTATGTGTTATAAACGTCCTTTTAGTGACGAGTAGTTTAAGCACGAGCGGAGCAGAGCGGAGCGAGTGTTTAATAAACGAGTGTCTAGAAGAGTTTATAAACGCGTTACATACTATGATTTTTCTACGAACTCCGGAAATTACATTAACATACCTGCAATTCTTGCTAACCTACAAAGTAATTCGAAAGGAATGGGAACTGAGAACATAATACATGCAACTGCATGCAACCAGCGAGACACGTATAAGTGATATTGGTTGTAGATGTGTCCAGTCCATTGCTTACTAACCTTTGTTTCACGTTTATTGTCATGCTTAGCGCAGAATGAATAACTTGTTCTCAAAGATGGATGCTTCATTTTTACACTTCTTGGAGATATGCAAGTACCAGAACATACAGAAAATACAGGATGGTCCAAGATTCAGAATTTTGATCACCCTGTATCTGTTCCAATTAAATGTCAATTTTGAGACAATGGATGTTTTATAGCTAATTAGGGATATTATCATAACATAATTGAGAATTTATGAATTACTAAATAAATAAATTATACAGGGTGTCCGCTAAAAGGAGGTCAATCCATTAACCATATATTCCTTGAACAAAAATAATATGAGTTTCTCAATAACATTTTTCATTTCAGCCCTTCTTATTCGATATACAGGGTGTCAAAGTTGAAAATTAAAAACTGTTTTTTTCTAATTACTCGCGTAATTAATAAGATATTAATCTCAAAATAGGTACATTACTTCAGCACGAAGAGTTACATCGTATGAGGAAAACAAAACAGAAAATAACTGTCAAATATTTAAAATACTGGGGGTCAAGTACACACTTACCCCCATATTTTTTTTGTACGTGCGCTAATGACTTCCTATCTATTTTTCTTCATGTGTTCAATCATTTTTGAGTATTTTTTGATTTTTGTAAAATTCCGATAAAATTATTTGTTTTTAAGATAATTCGAAAAGTACTGGTTATTGTTTGATGCCTTGCGGCTTACGGTAATCTCATAATGTTCACATACTCCTATTTATTTCGTCGAAATTGGAAGAGGGCGTATCTTATTACGTACGGAAAGGTGAATATGGAAATACCGGGTGCTCAGAGCGAATGTATTAAAATAATTTTTACACTTTTTAATTTTTTTTTTGTAAAAATTATTTTAGTACATTTGCTCCGAGCACCCGGTATTTCCATATTTACCATTCCGTACGTAAAAAGATACGCCCTCTTTCAATTTCGACGAAATAAATAGGAGTATGTCAACATTATGAGATTACGTAAGCCGCATAGGCATCAAACAATAACCAGTACTTTTCGAATTATCTTAAAAACAAATGATTCAATCGAAATTTTACAGGAAACAAAAAATACTCAAAAATGATTGAACACTTGAAGGAAAATAGATAGGAAGTCATTAGCGCACGTACAAACAAAATATGGGGGTAAGTGTGTACTTGACCCCCAGTATCTTGAATATTTGACAGTTATTTTCTGTTTTGTTTTCCTCACACGATGTAACTCTTTGTGCTGAAGTAATGTACCAATTTTGAGATTAATATCTTATCAAATACGCGAGTAATTAGAAAAAAAACAGTTTTTAATTTCCAACTTTGACACCATGTATACCGAATATGAAGGGCTAAAATGAAAAATGATATTTAGAGACTCATATTGTTTTTGTTCAAGGAATATGTGGTTAATGGATTGACCTCCTTTTAGCGGACACCCTGTATTTCTGAAGTTCCCATTCGCATTTCCGTATAATATGGCAACTATGCTATGGTCTGTCCCTACTTACAAAATCGTGAAGTTTGTTTTTATTTGCGGTAAATTTTAATCCGTTTGAAAATTACCGTCACAATATTGACGATTTCAGCACCTTGAAATCGACGGAGTGATGATTTGAAAAATAAATAAAAATAGTCCACTAGCCATTTTGTATTTGTCACTTTTACCTGTTGAAATTTGTGTCCAAAAGAGGACCATTCTTTTTCAATCAAAACTTCGAACCCCTTGATCGTCCTATAATAGGGATCTAGCATCAACATGGAAAGGGCAGTAAGTTGAGCTGTTCTATCCCAACCGTCTGAACAGTGGACTAGAACTGACGTTTTGTGACTTTCCACCTTGAAAATGAACATAAAAAATCATCAATTATGACATACACACACTGGCACAATTAGGGGAACGGGTAAAATTTACACTAAGTTTGACATCAATTTTCTCTCGAACCGATCACTCGATTCAAATTCGTTTTTCACGAATTGTAGCTTCATTCTTCACGAATACATCTGAGAAATAACCACCTCCAAACAATTCGTCTTTATATCATATACAGGGATGTAAAAAAAGTACGGAATTTTCGGTATTCTTTAAGACATTTTGTGGAGTGAACCACTGATAATTCGAACGATTTGCCAACACCAAATTATAGCCCAATCTATCCCAAATATTTTCGTTTTTTATTTATTTTGATATCCCAATTATCCAAGAAAATATAGAGTTTCAAAGAAGAGGTGGATATTGGTATTAATTTCACCACCTCGAAACTCGAACTGGGGAGAACGTGTCGTTTTTCAACTTGTTTCTGTGAGGATTTTTACTTCAAGATGAGAATTGTTCACAGTTTTACCTATTGGTTTACTGTTTAAAGACACATATACGAATACTCTCATGAATATGCAGGAGTGATGAAAGTTGCTCCAATGTTCTTTTGGTGGAGTGCTTATTCTTGTTAATCAACGTTGGCTATTTTGTTAATGTCATTAATTATTGTCAAAGTCAAGCGATTCACAATTCATAAATTTGATTAAAGAAAATTCATCGTGAGAGATTTGACTCCTACTGACCAGTGGGCCAATGTTCTTTTAACATATGAGAGCCGCATCTGCACCAATTCAATAGATGGCAGGGAAAGACTATATCGCCGAGGTGAACAAAATGAACAATTTGATTTTACTGGTTCTGTCTCCTATGGCAGAAGTTTAGTCATGGTTAGGTTAGGTTAGTCAAGAAACGACACATTTTCAGATCCAATTTGAGTTTTGAGGTGTAAAATTGATACCAATTTCCACCTTTCCTTTGAAACTGTGTATTTTCTTGAATAATTGAGATATCAAGATGAATAAAAAACCGAAATATTCGGAATAGATTGGGCTCCAATTTGGTGTTGAGAAATCGTTTCAATTATCAGTGGTTCAGTCCACAGGATGTCTTAAAAAAATACCGAAAAATCCGTACTTTCTTTACACCCCTGTATATGATGGAAAGACTCATCGTTGAAAGGTAATTATTTCTCAGATGTGTTCGTGAAGAATGAAGCTACATTTCGTGAAGAAAAAAAATTGAATCGAGCGATCGGTTCGAAAGAAAATTGATGTCAAACTTAGTGTAAATTTTGCCCGTTCCCCTAATTGTGCCAGTGTGTGTAGATGTATATTCTGACAATGGGGAATGTCGCCATGATTTTTGGAATTTTTTTTTTCACGATTTAGAACACATACTGGGTGAATTCAGCATTTTTTCAATCTTCTTACGATTGCGGTTGACCCAGAAAAAAATTATTAAATTGAACCTAATCAAAACGCATCTGTCACTCAATCACTTCCCGATGTTCAATACTGTCATTTTCTGGAATATAAACTTAGCTTGAGACAAACACTCCTTTGTTAATAATTACTAAAATATGCTTATTTAATCACAGACAATATAGGTTAAAATGGAGATAAGTAGGACATCATAAGAGAATGGGTAAGTTTCCTTTAGATGAATTTTCATAAAATAGGTTCGGAACTCTCCAGTTTCAAGTCCACGCTGTACAGAATGGCGACCGATAAAGTCCAAGTCGTTTTCATTTTCAAATTGAAGCAATTTCTAATTTGCGGGACGTAAATTCTTAATCTAGTTTGAAAATAGCTGATGGTGAAGAATATAGATAGCGAATAGCTAACGAATGAAAAACAAATGAAAAAAATAGAAGAAGTAAAACGGGTGAACAAAAACATACATAACCACAAATGCATTCGGAGCAGGAATGCAGAAGGTAGTTGGCTTCATTCTGACAGGTTATGGTTTTGTTATTCATGCATTGAAATATCTCGAATAGAGCTCGACTCTAAACAAAATTAACATTGAATCAATAAATCACTATCGGCTACATTCAATGATACTATCCTTCGTAATTTACTGTCATCGGTCGGGACAGAATGAAGCCGACACCCATGGCTACTTCCTCTTGTTGTGCCTGTCAGTATTTTGAGTGGTGTGGACCGACTCGAAATATTAGGCGCTGTTGCAAGATATAATCTGCAACTTTCCTAGAAGATAGATCCGTTTTTTTAAGAGACGAATTCATTAGCTAAAAAATGACTGACAAGTTATGAATAACATATTGTAATATAACGATTGTGAAAAATTATAGATACTATCGCAAAATATCATAACAGTGGCGGCTCCTCAGAGGAGGCAACGGAGACTGAGCCTCCTAAGAGATTCTCCTTGAACTGATATCATCTATACTTCCTCATTAAAAGGACACCAAAATTCATGGATTTTGATTTTATTTCCTACCTATTTTCGAATTGGCAACAGTGCTTGCCCACGCATCACACGTTGAAGTCTGCAAATCAGGCGTAAAATATTCAACTTGGCAACATCTATGGAAGGCTAGACTCCTCCACAAAGCGCAACCCACGCGTGCAACGCAAATGCCCGAATACTCCCGAATAGCACGTGTTTCTCGTGTTGCGTCGCAAATTGCGGACAATCCAGCGCGAGTGCATTGTTTATGTTAGGTTAATGGTTAGTGGCTCTAAAAATTTCTGAAAAATGAGTGTTTAAAACGATTGCGATTTAGTGGAATACTTTTTGGTGAACCCATTCAGTGCTTTGTCTTATGAAGATAAATTGATTGTAAAAACAAACGTTCGACACCGGAATTAAAAAATCTGATTGTAACAGGTAACAAACAAAATCGTTCGTTCAATTCTGATAATTATAAAAAATATATCTGGCTGACGGGATCCGAGGTAAGGAATAAGCTATTTTGTTGGTACTGCGTATTATTTTCAACCGATAAGTCATCATATTGGGGGCGATTAGGATATAATGATTTGAAAAATTTGCCTCGCGGATTGGATAGACACTGCAAATTACAGGAACACATCTCTTCAAGTATTAAGTTCAGGTTAACTGGTAAACAAAATGTCATTAAAGCTATCGATTTGGGTGAGTCGTAGAAAGTTGTTTTTTACAATAATTCTCATATCATTCAGCCTCCTCTGTCATGATAGTCACGAGCCGCCACTGTATCATAATTCATCTTAATTAGTAATCAACTTCATTCATCCAATGGGAGATTTATGGGAATTATTCATGATACTTGACAAAGTAGGATTGAAGAACCTATTATATCTCATTTGCTGTTATGATATTATAGTTATTATGCATTCAAAGAACAATTTCCGGAAATCTAGACATATTGACGATGTCGACAACGTCGTACTGGCACAGAGAATCGTATTTTAACTCTGTGTGAATGTGGATTTTCAGAAAGAACGTCATAGAAATGGTGGAGGAGCCAAGTTACTCTTTTATTAATTTTTTTCTGATGTGAAATTTGATCTTACGAAAAAAGAAAAAATACGTACACATTATTTTTTTACAAACTTCACAGTGAGATAAAAATCTCAACATAGGAATCTTCCCCATTGCCATTGTTTCGAGATATATCTAATCTGAATATGGTGGTTGTAGGAAAAACAAACTTGATTGACTGGAGTTTTCAACTTACTTTATCAACAATTCTGACTGCACCCGCTAATATACATTTTATGTGTTTCAACCAATAAGTGGATTCCACACCAGACAACCATTTGACTTCGTCGATGTTGGGATAGCAGAGTTCTTTGAGTTTCCTCAAAGATTCTCTCATAACGTGAATATTGTGAATGTCTAAGAATACCAGTTCTGCATTTTGGTATGCATCCTCTGATTCATACCTAAGGCAAATACAATAAATTCAAAGTTCATCATCAAATGGAATATGGAAAATAATCAATTGTCACTATCCGTGAATGAATCCAATGAAAGAACACCCTGTACTCACCCCCCTCCTTTAGCTTTGTTTGCTATAGCATTTGCACTAGGTCTCGCGTCCATTATAAATAACTTGTGAGACTGGGCATTGGCATCCATTATCAGTTGAACATATCTTTCATCATCTTTACATCTTTTACCGCCAACCTGGGAAAATCGTTGTTTTCTCACGACAAAAAATACATTTTTCTACTTAAAAAGTGTTAGCTAAACAGCTTTGTTAAACAATTGGTGTGAAAATCCTAAGGACATTGCAAATATACACAATCATAACTCGAAAGTCCGTTTTATTTGACTAGGACTGTACATAAAATTTTAGCAAGTTATCGAATCCACCTCGAAAAATTTGAACTACTAATCAAATTTTCATAATAGCGCATGTACAGTATACCCGATCATAACTCGAATTCCGTTTTGTTTGAGCAGTACTGTACAAGTGCGCCTTCAAAATTGAATCCCCTCTGGACTCTTTTGCTTTTAGAGGTATGAAAAATGTTGAAGGAAAAAGTTTGTGTAGTTGTTTTATATACAGGGTCATCAGTTTTTCCGTAAAGGACATCAACTCTGATTTTTTAAATGGAATAATCTATATTTTTTAATATTTCCATAGAGCCTCCTTTTCTGATTTCAAAAATATAAAGAAGTTGCATATTTGGATGATAAATTGTTTAGTTATTAATGATGAAAGTTGACCAAAATACCGCATCTTTATCTTCCATTCATACAGTCCATTCATATTTGTGTTTATTGAGGTTTAACGATTTTATTTTCATAATAAACAATATCATATATGACATTTCCATGAAACTCAAACTATATATAAACATTATTGCAAAGCCCACTATGTAAACTTGTATCATTAATAACTCAACACTTTTTTTATCCAAATATCCAACTTTATATTTTTGAAATCAATCATTCAAAAACAGTTGATGTCCTTTCCAGAAAAACGAATGACCCTGTATATAAAACAACTACACAAAATGAAAGTTAGGGTCGTTTCAATGAATTTTATTTCATGACATTTTTCCATATCTCCCAAAACATATGAGTTAAGACTAAGAGAGAGTTCAATTTTGAAAGGCGCACCCTGTACATAAATTATTTTGAATGCCACTTGAAATCTCGAAACTCTGGAATGACTTCTGGAGCCCGAATTATAATATACCTAGTACTCTGTAAAGTCTAACAAATAATGAAATTACATAACACGTAGACAAACAACTTGTAGTCCGTTTTATATGAGCAGGACTGTACACATGAAATATGAAAATCGCAAAAAACTGTTGAATTGAATATTATACCCCAACGAGAGGTTGTGAACATCTAGTGATTGTGGCTTGTGATTCAGGATGTATCCAACTTAGTACAGGTATTCTGCCTCTACTTCTGAAACTCGCCACTGTTTTGATGTTTTTATTGTTGTTATTAATGATGAAAGTTGACCGAAATACCGCATCTTTATCTTCCATTCATACAGTCCATTCATATTTGTCTTTATTGAGGTTTAACGATTTTATTTTCATAATAAACAATATCATGACATTTCCATGAAACTCAAACTATATATAAACATTATTGCAAAGCCCACTATGTAAACTTGTATCATTAATAACTCAACACTTTTTTTATCCAAATATCCAACTTTATATTTTTGAAATCAATCATTCAAAAACATGTGATTCAAAAACAGTTGATGTCCTTTCCAGAAAAACGAATGACCCTGTATATAAAACAACTATACAAAATGAAAGTTAGGGTCGTTTCAATGAATTTTATTTCACGACATTTTTCCATATCTCCCAAAACATATGAGTTAAGACTAAGAGAGAGTTAAATTTTGAGAGGCACACCCTGTACATAAATTATTCTGAATGCCACTTAAAAACTCGAAACTGTGGAATGACTTCTGGAGCCCGAATTATAATATACCTAGTACTCTGTAAAGTCTAACAAATAATGAAATTACATAACACGTAAACAAACAACTTGTAGTCCGTTTTATATGAGCAGGACTGTACACAAAAAATATGAAAATCGCAAAAAACTGTCGAATTGATTATTATACTGACCCCAACGAGAGGTTGTGAACATCTAGTGATGGTGGCTTGCGATTCAGGATGTATCCAACTTAGTACAGGTATTCTGCCTCTACTTCTGAAACTCGCCACTGTTTTGATGTTTTTATTGTTGTTATTAATGATGAAAGTTGACCAAAATACCGCATCTTTATCTTCCATTCATACAGTCCATTCATATTTGTGTTTATTGAGGTTTAACGATTTTATTTTCATAATAAACAATATCATGACATTTCCATGAAACTCAAACTATATATAAACATTATTGCAAAGCCCACTATGTAAACTTGTATCATTAATAACTCAACACTTTTTTTATCCAAATATCCAACTTTATATTTTTGAAATCAATCATTCAAAAACAGTTGATGTCCTTTCCAGAAGAACGAATGACCCTGTATATAAAACAACTACACAAAATGAAAGTTAGGGTCGTTTCAATGAATTTTATTTCACGACATTTTTCCATATCTCCCAAAACATATGAGTTAAGACTAAGAGAGAGTTAAATTTTGAGAGGCACACCCTGTACATAAATTATTCTGAATGCCACTTAAAAACTCGAATTTGTGGAATGACTTCTGGAGCCCGAATTATAATATACCTAGTACTCTGTAAAGTCTAACAAATAATGAAATTACATAACACGTAAACAAACAACTTGTAGTCCGTTTTATATGAGCAGGACTGTACACATGAAATATGAAAATCGCAAAAAACTGTTGAATTGAATATTATACTGACCCCAACGAGAGGTTGTGAACATCTAGTGATTGTGGCTTGTGATTCAGGATGTATCCAACTTAGTACAGGTATTCTGCCTCTACTTCTGAAACTCGCCACTGTTTTGATGTTTTTATTGTTGTTATTAATGATGAAAGTTGACCAAAATACCGCATCTTTATCTTCCATTCATACAGTCCATTCATATTTGTGTTTATTGAGGTTTAACGATTTTATTTTCATAATAAACAATATCATGACATTTCCATGGAACTCAAACTATATATAAACATTATTGCAAAGCCCACTATGTAAACTTGTATCATTAATAACTCAACACTTTTTTTATCCAAATATCCAACTTTATATTTTTGAAATCAATCATTCAAAAACAGTTGATGTCCAGAAAAACGAATGACCCTGTATATAAAACAACTACACAAAATGAAAGTTAGGGTCGTCTCAATGAATTTTATTTCATGACATTTTTCCATATCTCCCAAAACATATGAGTTAAGACTAAGAGAGAGTTCAATTTTGAAAGGCGCACCCTGTACATAAATTATTTTGAATGCCACTTGAAATCTCGAAACTCTGGAATGACTTCTGGAGCCCGAATTATAATATACCTAGTACTCTGTAAAGTCTAATGAATAATGAACTTACATAACACGTAGACAAACAACTTGTAGTCCGTTTTATATGAGCAGGACTGTACACATAAAATATGAAAATCGCAAAAAACTGTCGAATTGATTATTATACTGACCCCAACGAGAGGTTGTGAACATCTAGTGATTGTGGCTTGTGATTCAGGATGTATCCAACTTAGTACAGGTATTCTGCCTCTACTTCTGAAACTGGCCACTGTTTTGATGTCATCGTCAGTGACTTGTGCAGGAACAGCCCAAACGGCCGGGTAACTATCGCATACTTCGTATTGTTCGTTGATTTTCGATATTTTCCACATATCATTGTTGACTCCCTAAGAATAAATAAGATGCCTACTTGGATGGTTTTAAAGAATTTCCGAGTACAACAGTAACATCTCAAATGCATATGAAGAAAACTTTGGAACGATATATACAGGGTGAGAAAAAATGTATACCGAGTTTTCTGGAGTTGATAGTACAGGGTGATTCACCATGAATGCCCCCCTCTCTAGCTAAGTTATTTTTGAACCGATTGCAAAATTTTGAATATCATCTAAAATGATTTTCGATCGTTTTTTTCCGCTACATCAGAAAATACAAGGTGCTCGGAACACCCTAGCTGTATTTCATTGTATTTTTAGATTTCCCCGGAAGAGCTGATTTCATCAATGTATCACACTTGGGGTCTAGCGAAAATGATTACAGAGATATAGGGTGTTCAAAATCGAGATTTTTCAACTTTAGGATTTTTCTGTGACGAAACTATTCATTATCGGTCAAAACGGCTTCCATGTCCGTATCTCAACTTTTGATTTAATATCTACTGACATTTAATAATTGGAACAGATACAGGGTGATCAGAATTCTGAATCTTGAACCACACAATATTGAAATTAACCTGACATTTTCAAATACCAAAGGGACACTTAGCCATTAATTTATTTATTTATTTTATTTATTTAAGTATCTATTTGGTAGTAGAAAATGTCAGGTAGGTAGATTTCAATAGGTACTGTAACTTCTTTAGTGCTTGTGAAAAAAATTGTTAAACACATTTTGTAGAATAGAGAGGATAGTGCAAAAATGAAAAAGAATGTTGTAAAACGAAAAATAGAGATGGTGTCCTGCCGAGAAATTCGGGGCTCCTGAATTAGTATTACTGATGAATTTACCTGCTGATATCCTGCCACTACAAAAACTCAAATATCTCGAAAACAGTTACAATTTTCCTACTTTGATAAAAGTACCGATTTTATGTGATTTTTTGGCTCTATCAAATGCTTCTATTTGAAAAAAATACTAGAAAAAATGTTGTCATCAGAAAATCATTGCCACCCTCTAAAAGCCCCTTAATAACAATATCACAAATGTAAATGTGTATCAGAAAAATGTATTTCATCAACATTCATACAGGAAAATTCAATATGGTGGCCTTTGCCATTTAGAATTTATGCTGGAAAATTATTTCAATTTCATCAACTTTAGAAGGATATAATATTATCCCCCTTGATATACAATTTTTCCATTAGTTTGTCAATTCAACTATATGCTTATTTTTCAATGTACTATCACCTCCAGAAAGCTGAGTACACATTTTTGACTCACCCTGTATAAAACATTTTATAATATAAAGTCTACCTTCTACCTGCAGTTTTTGTGATATACTTACAGGAGTGTGTCAAGATCATTTCCTGACTTTATGAATAAATCTGTGATGAATAACCAACCCTTATATTACACTATCAAGTTTTAATAGGTGCTGATGATATAATGATCAATAATGTGCTATTAAATTTCAGTATCAGCTCATTTTTTTTTCAATGAAAACTATGGTATACATTATTTATTTAACTATTGTTTCACCATTGTTATACAGGGTGTTTCAAAAAAACCTGACCCCCTTACTAGGGTAGGTAGAACACTGCAAAATAAGTTAGGTGTTGATAAAATGATTTTTTTACACATTTTTTAAGATTATGTCGAAACTACTGGCAACATTGTGATGAAATTTTGTATGGATGTTTCTTGGAATCTGACACATCGCATGCCGATGTTTCTATATCTGACTTTCATAGAGGGCGCTAGTTACACGGTTCGTACCGAGTAGTTTTGAATATAACTTTTTTGAGGTTAGATTTTTCAATCCAAATCTGATGTGAACTTGAACATCATTCAATTTCACACCAAAAAGGTACTCTTGGTAAAACTCGATACTGTGTTCCGTTTTCGGAATATTTCGATTTGAAAATGATGAAGTGATAACTGTTGCTGGTATAAAGCCATGTAATAGAGCGAGTATTATGAAAAATTATCACTTATTTATTGAAAACCGAAAACAGCAATACATTTCTGATGCTAAACTTATTGATATAACAATGAATCACAAGAATAACATCGAAACAGATTTGACTGAGAACATGGATTACACAGTTTTGTTGTATCTTGAGCAGAAAGTCTAAACTACATAGGTAAATTCACGTCAAGAGTTGTGAGACATAATTGAACATCACTTAAATGACCTAACACCTGATCCTCAACTGTTTAGAAGAATAATATATTCTTAAGAAAAGAATATAGAATCGTGTATTCGTCGAAACGTAGGACATTTTGAACACTTATACTTTAACTGATTCAATATTTCATGTTTCTTGTCAAATATCTCTTAATTTTCTATATACTTTATGATTCTTTGTTCCATCAATAACTTCAGCACAAGAATGATCCTATTGTTTTTGAATCTGAATAAATAGGTAATTGAACTCAATAAAATTCATTTTATACCAGCATCAATACTACTCCAATATTTTCAAATCAAAATATTCCGAAAACGGAACATAGTATCAAGTTTCACCAAGAGTTCCTTTTTGGTGTAAAATTGAATGAGGTTTAAGTTCATATCATATTTGGATTGGGAAATCTAACCTCAAAAAAGTTATGTTCTAAACTACTCGGTACGAACCGTGTAACTAGCGCCCTCTATGAGAGTCAGATATAAAAACAAATTCATGCCATGTGTCAGATTTCAAGAAACATCCGTACAAAATTTCATCACAATGTTTCCAGTAGTTTCGACATAATCGTGAAAAATGTGTAAAAAAGTAATTTTTTCAACACCTTGTATCATGGAAACGGATGCCTTTAAGACATTTTTTCACTGAGCAAACCCAACTTATTTTGCAGTGATCTACCTACCCTAGCAAGGGGGTCAGGTTTTTTTGAAACACCCTGTACACTAGAGCTGTGATACTGATTTTATAAATAATATCATAATATCAACATGGATAATGATATAGTAAGAGTATAATTGGAGAATAAAATTAAAATATAAAGATATTTCTCTTTCAAATTCTGTTCCCCAGGTTGTAGGTTCATTCAATTATCTGTTAATTCATCAATCTAATGAGCATTGAATAAACAGATGAAATCAAATGATGAGAATAAAGAAAAAACACGATTTTTCATTTATTAAAATCTTGATTAAAGTAGTGATGATTTTACCAATCCTGATGATACTTTACCATTCTCTTCAGCTCAGCAATTGGCTCATAAACAGTCCAACCATTTTCTGGGAAAGTTTCTGAGTACTCAAAAGCAAACAGATTCATTTTGTGGGACAAGGAGAAAGCATACATCTGCAGCTTCTCAAAAACATTTCTCCTAGAATGATTTTCTTGTTTGTGTGCAAACCTCAAATTTCTCATGTCCTTGCAAAACACTTCAATGCCATAAGCATTTTCCCCTCTAGAAGATGCACCCCCGACTTTTTCAATCCTGGAAACCTAACAAAAAAACCCCTCAAATTTAATTCAATTGATTTCAGAGAATTACATACTACACCCAAAGGGACTTCAACAATGTTGGGTGTGTCTTTATCACCAGACTTGAAGTACAATTTGTAATTTGTTACTGTTAATATTCCTCTAGCTGGCCCATGATATGGACACAGATAAGTCACATCTCTGGCTTGGCCTGTCACTTTTTCTCCTGGAAGAACTGGAGAGTCATCAGGCCTACTAGAAACTCCTGATTCACTGGAAACCTAAGAGATTACACTATGCATAGCATGAAAAGAACTCTGCAATTATCATATGAAAGTACCTTTTTCCGTTCCAATGTAGAAACAACATTTTCAGTGGATGTTGAACTAGAAGAGCAATAACTTTTACTGGGGGAAGTTTTGCCCCAAATTGGCTAAAAATGAATCATTCATGAATTGTTTTTCTCAACAAAGTGACTGTTTTCATTACAGTTTCTTGTTTGTTCAACAAATTTGATTTAGAATCAGTTCTGAACCCATCAGTGACATTTTTGTTGAAAGTTGTGTTTTCCATCTCTAGTAATTCAATACTTCCTATTTTTCTATTCATCACTATCACTGAATAGAAGTTCTCTCGAAGAGGAGGCGGATAATCGAAAATTGAATTAGCGTTAATTCTAAATTAGTGTTTTTAAATTTGGAGTGGAATTCACAATTTTCATTCACCCTAAAAGTAAACAAGTTTTAACAAACATAATACAAAATCACTGACATATAAGTGACATGGTCAGTTTACCACTGAGAATACTGACGTTACTGAGTTACTGACAGGCAGTGTTGCCGTTTCAGAATTTAAATTTTTGGAAATTATGGACTTTTTATCTCATTAGGACTCCAATTATAAGATAATATCTTCTTCAAATCATTGTTTTGTATGCAATAATAGCTCGGGCTATCCGGCTCTTGTTTTTGTACTAGATTAGTTTTAATTGTATCGACGTACTAAAGGCCTGTTCGTTTGTGCTTGCTCTACCTGCTGAACTTGATTTTTTTCTATGACTCTCTCTGTTTACATCATGCCATGAACAGAGACAACTATGGGAAAATAATCAGCTTTAGCAAGTTTAGCAATACAAACGAACAGGCCTTAAATGTGTATGAAATTTACTAGAAAAGTACAATAGTACAATAAACGGCAACTCTGCTGACATAAGACATGCATAAGACATGAGCTATTTTTCAATAAGTTAACCAGTCAATTTTCCTCGAAGTGTATTCAATACTATGACGCAATAGTCAACAAAGTATTTTCCAATCAGAGATCTCATCATATTATTGATCAAAATGAATGAATGAATTCATTGTGAATATGTACGTAGCCGATGAATTGACATCTACCAAGCTTCACAAGAATGATTTCAGAAGAAAACTGTCATAATAAAGTTACCATGACGACATCATGGTTTCTTTGGTTATGGTTAGGTTCGAGAAAATATGACTAATGAGCATGACATATTTGACATTGACAGTGTGAGGACAGGTTGACAAACACAGAAAAGTCGAAAACGAACAGCGCCATCTCGGTTCGTATGTGATACGATCAGGTTGGTTTTTACAGGAATCTTGAATATAGAATGGTCGATGACCTTCTAGCACTTCAATATAGAGGTCACGTGAGTGTGAGAATGGAATATACGGAACATGATTTTTGTTCGGCCATAGTTGAAAATGGCGATTGCTAGGAATTTAATGTGAACGAATGTGCTTGCAATTAGTGCGCGTACAGTGTATTTTATTGAAGAATCGCAACTATAATAAAGCTATCAATTCAACTGAAATGCCAACATGCAGAATGTTTCGCAAGAACCCTCTACAGATAATCCGAAAATAGATAAAGTTGTTCTCCACGAACTAGGGAACTCGTCGTCTACTCCCCAATCGACGACGTCCAATTCAAGTCCTGCTAAATCCGAAACGGAAACCTATTCAGAACATCGCAGATATATGTCAGAAACATCAGAAAGTGAAGAAGATAGCGTATCCGAGGTAGGTTTTCATTTTTATTAGCCTTCCCTTGTTTTTTTCCATCGAATTTCGCCTCGAGGCCCAAGTATCAATGAACTTATAGTGGAGAGACATCTTGTGGCAATAATGTTCGTGTTGTACAATACTCGCCCTAAAATATCGAATTTTAGGCGATTTTTATGAAATTTTCCATTGAAAAATCACGTCCAAAGTACAACATTTTCATTATGTAAGTATTTGAAAAATACAGCTGGAAAAATCTAGTGTGCATGGGTGTTTTTGGTGCAGAGGATGTTTCCTAATGACTAATAAATGAGTCTCCTCCGTCCGTCGTGAAAAATCAAGTTGACCAGGGTACACGTCAACTTCTTTTGTTTCTTTAATTAGAAATTTCAGTGCAAATCAGCAAATCATGTTATTTAGGGAAAGAAATGTATGTATTTTACTTTATTATTTGTCTACAGCCATTAACTTTTTGCAAGATAATGAATCACAACTTGCAAAAACTTTTACTGCCTTTTAAAATTATTATGAATCATTTTAGATTGCAGCTTTATATCCAATAGACACTGGAAAACACATAAATCTTAGCTTGACTCTTCAATAAGTAATCACCTTCACTACTGCCTTATCTAGAAATCATTGCCCTGTCCAAATATCTCACCAATATCTAAACTGATTAGTGATTTGGCTCTAGATTTGATGATTTCCTACCTCCATACCTGCTATATGCCTTTACAAGGTTTTTCATAATACTGTAATAATGTTGAAACTTTCACTATTGTTCACAAATGATGCATTACTTTTGATTGCTAAGCACTTTATTGCAGTAGTAAATTGATGTTTTATGGAAAAATAGAAAAATATGAGTACTACAAGTTTGAAGACAATATAAATGAAGGGATCTTGTTGGTAGGTATGATATCATTATCTTATGAAGATCTAACATTTTCTTCCACCTCTGGTTCTTTGATGAAATTCATTTTTAGGTTATCAATACAATTTATACCCTCTTGAGCCTTGCCACATGTGTAGGCTTTGTTATCAGCCTGAATTATTTGTTGACATTTCATTATCTTACTGTTATTTTGCTGATTCAATTATAAATGAGGATGATAATCAATAGTACAAATAAAAATGTCTAGTGGTCCTATTTTATACTAGGTATGTTGATGATATAATAGCTATTGAAATCCAGGTTATTTTTCCATTTTTTGAGCCATGGAAACCATGAAAACTTGATGGTTTGTTTGAAAATTTGACAATCAGCAACAATTATTGATCCACCAAAAGTCAGTAGTTGAAAATCAAATGATTAAAACTTGTTTTCATGTTTTTATGTTGAGCATAGGTAGCAAGAAAGTACTGAATACACTTTTATGTGTGTCTTGATTTATATTATTGTCAAATTATAGGTATTTATTAAACATTATAACAAGTTGCAAAATGGCAGTTTTTTTGCACTAAATGTGAATAGTATTGTTGACAACCTTTGACCACTATTTTAAAATTCAAAATGAAACAATCAAAATTACAAAAAAAATTTCATTGAAGGAATTAGGGTTTGGATTATTTTCTGTACCCCCCCAGCCCCCTCTTAAATGACCGATATTCTTCTCCAGAGGAATATCTAGAATGACCTTGGTTATGGGCTTGCTCAATTGGTTAATCAAAGTCCAATTAAGAGTTTGTATAAAATACATTGACAGGTTCACTTTGCTTTTTTTCCTTTTAATTAAACTTTATGCAAATGAGTTGTGTCCTCCACAGATTTACGTTTCTAATAATAAAACCAGGCCGAGACAACAATAATTATTATCTGTTGTCAAGTCATTTTTTTCTGGTTTATGAAAGGTCAGTTCTGTTGAAAAATCTCCAGTTAAGATCGGCTGTCATTGGCGTTGCAACATGATCACTATTTACACGGTGGTCGTTTTGTTTTCATAAAAAAATGCGAGGGTTTCTTTTTCGAGAATTTTTTTGGTACTTACGGATTTTCGTCTGACGAATTTTACAATGAAAATGTGAACAAACCGCTATTTATCGAGATATTTTATGAAAAAGTGCGAAATTTCACCTTCTTTATTCTAAATAAACCATAGGAGTTGTGTCCTCCACAGATTTACATTTCTAATAATGAAACCATGCGGAGACAACAATAATAAATTATTATCGGTTGTCAAGTCATTTTTTCTGGTTTATGAAAGGTCAGTTAAGATCGGCTGTCATTGGCGTTGCATCATGATCACTATCTACACGGTGGTCGTTTTGTTTGAATAAAAAATGCGATGTTTTTTGTTCGAAATTTTTTTTGGTACTTATGTATTTATGTATGAAAAACACGAATTTCACAATGAAAACGTGAACAAACCGATATTTATCGAGATATTTTATGAAAAAGTGCGAAATTTCACCTTCTTTTATACTTGAATTGTACTTCAATAACACGTTTTATTTCCTCAAATCAACAAGAAGTATGATGGTTTATTCGGATTTTTTTCATATTTAGTGAGGTCAACAATTGTTTGGTTTCTCGAGTTTCTTGCCAATATTTTCGACATTTGATATGTATTTGTATTTTGACTTTTGAGTTCTGTGATTTGTATTTATATTTGATAATTGAATGGCCGTCAGCTGGTGTGATTGTTTACCTCACTAAAATATGAAAAAACTCCAAATAAACCATACTTCTTGTTGATTTAAGGAAATAAAATGTGCTATTGAAGTACAACGTGAGTATATAAAATGTCTAATGATGGCAAAAGAAGGACAAATAGTTGTAAATGGATGGTAAAATTTCGCATTTTTTCGTGAAATATCTCAGTAGATACCAGTTTGTTCACATTTTCATTGGGAAATTCGTGTTTTTCATACGAAAATACCAAGAAATATTCTCGAAAAAAAACCCATGGCATGATAAGTGCAGTTTTACCAAATTTGGCATACAATAACATAATATAGGTATTTTAGAAATTTGGCATTTACAAAGTGAACATAATATTTTGGATTCCACTTCCGTAGGTGAATACCCTGTACATTCAAGTCTTTCCATGTTTGGTCAACGTAAATTTTATTCTGACCTCGGAAAATACGAAAATATGAAAATATCACATACATAATGCAATATGTATACGTGATATTTCAACAATTTAACAGGAGATTTGAAAGCATTTTATTGTTGCTATATTTAAATTCTTAGAAAACAACTAGGTACAGGGTGATTCACCATAAATATCCGTGGTAACGCTCTAGCTCAGTTATTTTTAAACCGATCGCAAAATTTAAGGGATCATTTGAAATGATTTTTCAATATTTTTTTTCCGCTACCTCTTGAATACAGAGTGCTAGGAACAAACGATCTACAGGGTACTAGTTGATTTTTTCAAATGAGACACCCTGTAATTCATTTCATTTTTATATTCTCCCTGAAGAACTGATTTCATCAATGCATCACACTTGGGGTCTAGGGGGAATAAATACGGAGGTATAGGGTGTTCAAAATCTTTGTGTCCAAACTATTCATTATTGGTCAAACAAATTGAGTCATATGTCCCTATCACAACTTTTGATAAACTATCTATTGACATTTCATCGGAACACTACAGGGTGGTTCAATGAATAGCTTCGACAGAAAAAAATCCTTAGTTGAAAAATATCGATTTTGAACTGTAATCATTTACGCTAGACTCCTGATATATTGATGAGATCAGCTCTTCAGAGAGAATCTAGAAATGCAATGAAATATAGGGTGTTTAATTTGAAAAAATCAACTAGTACCCTGTAGATCGTTTGTTCCGAGCACCCTGTATTTTCTGATGTAGGGGAAAAAAAACTTTATCAAGAATTATTTCAAATGGTGCCTCTAATTTTGCGATTGATTGAAAAATAACTGAGCTAGATGGGATTTATGGTGAATCACCCTATACTCATTAAAATATTTATGGGGGGGTTTCAAAATTATTCTGATCACCCTGTATGTGTTTCAATAAAATGTCAGTACATAGTAAATCAAAAGTTAATAGTTTCTACACAAACAATTCGTAAAGTTGAAAAAATCTCAATTTATCACACCCTATATCTCGGTAATCATTTCAGCTAGACTGCAACTGTGATAGATCCATGAAATCAACTCTTCAGGGAGAATCTAAAAATGCGATAAAATACAGGGATGTTGATGGTCAATTGTTTTTCTGTTTACATAATTATTCAAAATCTACAGGAAAAGTTATGAAAAACTGTTCTTTGGAAAAAAAAAATTCGATGATAAATAAAAAAAGTTAAGGGGGGGGGTCAAAATATGCGTGAAGTGAAGACCCTGTACAGGGTGATTCACCATTAATGTCCTCCCCCTCTAGCTCAGTTATTTTTGAACCCATTTCAAAATTTGAAATATCTTGAATGATTTTCGATAAAGTTTTTTTTTCCGCTACATCAGAAAATACAAGGTGCTCGGAACAAACGATCTACAGGGTACTATTTGATTTTTTTAAATGGAACACCCTATCTTTCATTGTATTTTCAGATTCTCCCTGAAGAGCTGATTTGATCAATGCATCACACTTGGGGTCTAGCGGGAATGATTACAGAGATATAGGGTGTTCAAAATCGAGATTTTTCAACTTCAGGATTTTTTTGTGTCGAAATCAGATCTTCAGGAAAAATCTAAAAATACAATGAAATACAGGGTGTGTTCTATTTGAAAAAATCCGAGCACCCTATATTTTATGACGCAACGATAATTTTTTTTTCTGAAAAATCATTTTAGATTATTTCAAAAATTTTTGAATCGTTTCATGAATAAGTGAGTTAGAGGGGGGGAGGGCATTTATGGTGAATCACCCTGTACAACCCCACTTGAAAGAACATTTTACCGAAACTCTATAAACCTTGAAGTTGTGATTGAAATCGCACCTATTCATTAAAATAACATGATAGGTGACTAAACATTAATTAATAGCATAGAAGAATAGGCGCATTCTGAATGATATCAATGTTAATAATAATAAGACAGAAGAATGTTT